AATATGTGGGTGGCTTTTCCAAATAATATACCACGTAAGTATACGAAAAGTGAAATTGAATATAATTTCGTTAAATACTGTGTGTAACACCTTTTATTATTTGGGGGTGTATGACAAATAATTCGCGGTGTTGCAAATGGAATGACAAATTTAAAGTACCTTTCATCTAATTGTGGAGGGAATAAAAATCAAATTCTCGTAGGTACTGCAAAGGATTTTAGAATGATAACAACAACAATGATGATGATGATGCATTTTTATAGCTTGGTATCATTTTGAGTTCGAATCTTCAACTTTTGCAGGTTTTTACTCAAAACACAACTGAACAGAGAGAAGCACCCTTTTTACACTTCACTATTTTTGCAACTTTTACCATTTCGAAATGTAAAAGAACAAAGCATATTTATATGGCCAAATAGACCAAATAGTACAACCAAACTGTACAGTGCTGACAAACAAACCATCTGCACATCTAAACGCACCAAAGAAAAAAGTTCTAGTTGAACAGTTGTAGACAAGGGGGTTGTTTTCATTGATGAGTGCTTTCCATTGTCGTCGTCGTCGAGTCAGTCGTACAGTTTTCCATAGAGTACAATGATTGTTGCTGCTGCTGCTATTGGTGTTGTTGCCATTAAGTTTGAATTACAATATTATCATAGTATTTCTTTTTTTTTTTTGGCTAGGGCAGGCAGGCGCTTTTATTCCAACTTGTTTGACTGTGCACAAAATCAAAAGCCAGTCATAATGACATTGGTAAACAAATAATATTTGTACCTACTATTTGCCATTTCTTTTGCAATGTCATTCTGACTTGAGGGTAAGGGTTGAATTGAGGTAGTTTGTTTCGAAAATCCTTGAATGAATTCTAATTTGAGTCATAGGCAGTGAAATCATAAGAAAAAAATGTTGAATAGGAGAATCTTTTTGCACTGCTTATTTTACAATCCTATCAGTGAAACTAGTTGGTCCCTTTTTGATGAAGTTACGTTTTTAGAAATATTTTGTTATGCATACATTGATTTGAGCTACATGCAAAACAAAAAAGGATATAGATACTATTTAAATATTAATAACGTGGACCTTCATGGCCCATTTTCAATATCAAAAGCCCTGCAGACCTAATATGCATTGGAGTAAAATTTTATGAACCTACTTCATTTCGTTCGGAAGCTAGAGAGATTTCTACAGACGGGCGGACATCGCCAAATCGACATGGAATTTTATGCTGATCAAGATGTTGGGTCTAAAATGCATATTTCGAGGTGTTACAAACGAAATTACGAGATCAATATAACCTCCATACTATGGTGGAGGGTATAAAAAGCCAAATAACAGCCAATTTGGTTAAAAATACTGAATAAAACATTTACAATGTTGAAAATAAGGTGATATAGATAGAATGTTACTTTATGGGTGGTAAATCCCCATAAAGTATATATTTATATACACACAATTTAAAATTGATTTGAAATAAGATGTACTATTGCTATCATGATTATAGAAGTGACAGGTCACAGGAGGCGTGCTTCTCGATGATTACTTTCCGAATACGGGATCCTTATTGGCAAAAGGGTATCTAATTTAATATTTTGTTCTGAAATTGGATGCCTCCGTTTCTCACATACATATACTTCTTAATAAAAAAAGCTCGGTCGGTCAAAAAAAGTTCGGCATTTTCGAACCTAAACAAGCAAAATGATTCATAATTCGATTTGCTTGACCAATTTTTTTTGTCATTGCCGACATCCAATATATTAATGTAACTGGATAATAGACATATAAAAAGTAAAAGTAGTAAGTTTGATTGGACCGATCTTTTGATACCCTCCACCATGATATTCACAAAGTCAAAATGAGGAAAAGATGGCCGAAAGTTAACGGCAAAGTTGTAGATAATGGTGGGTACTATGCTTGAAAAGGACGTTAGAGTTTCTACTCCCCTCACATGGCAAATAGTCAATGTCCCTTGTTGGATAATATGGGACATATGCATGGTAGGTATTAAGTCTCCTCCATCCCTGCTTCATCTTTACATAGTCTAAAGTAGAATTAGAGTTTTGAAAATGTTCAAAACTCCACCAATCTTAATTGTAATATGCTGCCATTTCATTTCGCAGGCTCCAACAATTCAATAGAGTCCCAAATACCTTCATTTGAATTTTATTATTATTATAGCTGATATTCACCTATAGTTCAGTCAATACCCCCAACAAAGAGAAAAATGCAACAATTTTAATTATTATAATTAACAAGTAAAAAACAATAAGTTCGACCGGTCCGAACTATTAATACTCTCCACCTTAGGGCAAAGGAATCATTTTTATATAAAAGTATCTGAATTAAAGCGTGCTCCACTTTAAACTACAAATACCGGTAAGACCGTTTGCATAATGCAGTTAAATTTATCAAAAACAATAAACTGGGTAAACGGGAACCTCTGCAGACAATTTTATACCTCAAGGATTGTCATCTATCAAATCTTCTAAAATATCAAAACCGAAACAATTTCATGGGTAAAGGTGACTGGGATTATCAAAATACCGAATATCGGTGGGTATCGATTTATGTGCGCTATAGGCGCCACAGGAGCTAGAACACGTTATGACCCACAAATACAAATTTTTAGACAAATCCGTGAAAAAATGTGGCAAAAATCATACCCAATATCAGGGGGTACCGATATATGGGGACTATACCAAAACGTGGGCCTATACATACAATGTTTCGGCACCGGAGCTGGAACCCATCATGGGCAAAAAACTTTAATTTTTAGACAAATTAGTGGGAAAATGTGACAAAAATCATCAAAAAATACCGAATATCGAGAGGTACCGTTATACAAAAACGTGGGCCCATACACATAATGTTTCGCCACACAAGCTAGAACCTATTATAACCAACAAACACCAATTTTTAGACAAAACCGTGAAAAAATGTGGCAAAGATCAACAAAATATTGAATATCCAGAGGTACCGTTATATGGGGACTATACCAAGACGTGGACCGATGTGTCATTTTCAATCTTAGGCACAATGCAAATTGTTCTGCTAAATATTGACGCTCTACATCAAATAATGTGGGCTGTATCGTGATTTCAACTGACACACGGACGGACATGGTTAAATCGACTTAGAATTTTATGCTGATTATGAATATATACACTTTATGGGGTTTACGATGAATATTTAGGGATGTTACAAACGGAATAACAAAGTTAAGGTGGAGGGTATAAAAAAAGTTAAAAAAAATAATCTACTTATCGGGAAATCCGCGAACTAATCTGTGAAGATTCTTAAATTTTCTTTAATTCACTTCTTGTTGTGAGAATATCGAGAACATTCAATAATGATACCCCTGAGTTTTGATAGTTATCCGGAAGGTTTGTGATACAAATCAGTTTCTTTTCTTAATAGGTAGGTATTTAAACATTTTGGAACATTAGGGCTTGGACTGCGGCACAATGATTATTTTTTTAATACTTTGCCTTTATTACAATACGTCGTTTATTTTTTGTCTTACTCCAATCATAGGTTTTACTGAATTTTCCAGCAGATTGTGCCATAAACTTTTCATATACATATGGTTATTTATTTATAATTGTTTATTCAAAACATTTTCTTTTTTTCAAATTACCACACCAAAAGGAAACTTTTCAATTAAATAGTATGGAGTTTTCTTTCACAAGAGCCGTTTTTTATACTTTTTTAATTTTTTATTTATCAATTATCTCACTTTTTTTGCTCTTGGTGGTGTACAACAAAATCTAATTAGGCTAAGTCCGTCTGGTTGCAAAACACTACGGCCACTACCACTCACAACACCGCTCAATTGAAGGACGACGTTACACAAACAACACAAATGACGGCACGGCGCTACGGCTGACAATATGTTGTGAAATATTTTATGGTCGGGACATAGTTTAAAATATTAGCGAAACCGAATTTTCATGGCGAGGTATTATAGGTCGGTTTATGACATGTCTCCTTCCGTTTAGTTTCCTCATGCACATTCACTTACACACACACTACTGCCACTGCCCACCATTTGGGGTTTGGTTGGTTGGTTGGTTAATGTCTGAAGAAAGTAGTTTTAAATTATTTTTTCACATTTCTTTTGGTTTTATTTCATTTTGTGATCAATAGCCAAATTTGACTAATCACCAAACGTCAACAAACATTTGCATTTATTTTTAGTAAAATTTCTTCTCAAAAAAATTTTGTTTCAATTGAGAAATAAACATTCGCAACAAAACATTTACAGCCGGCCTGCTTGCACCACACTACCGTACACTACACACAACGATGACAATGACGGCGACGACTCTCGTCGTACAACATCACATGAAGTTGAGAGAACGAACGACGACGGCAACGAACCGACACACAACACAACAACAACAAAATTTTGTTTGTTTTGTTGTCATTCCTGATTTCTTATTTGTATGTATATCTAAGAAGAAGAAGCAGCAGCATTTTATTATCTTCATTCATTTTGTCGTTTGTTTATTTTCTTTTCATCCCATCCCATCGTCACCATTCATACACACAAGAAGGAGGATATATCGGTACATTTTCTCATCTTCTTTCTGGACGAACGAATTCTTTTTTCTTCTTTTTTTTTTTGTTATGAGACCGAAAACGAGACGCGTTTTTTTATGTCGTGGAGTTTGTTGATAAGGTTAGGTTTTGTTGCATTCAACATAAAGCACTTATTTTATTTTGTTATTTGCATTTCTTTTTTGCTTTCGTTACATTTTCACATTTCTTTTTTCTCTCTTTTGCTTTTTGGCCATAACCAAAATAAGGCAATGGATTTGTAACTGGATTCATGTGAAATTATGTTTCGCCCATGAGATGAGACGACGACTACCACAAAGACGGGACAGTGAAAAAGCACACTTTATATACATAACTTGATCAAATTCTTTAGTAAAATTATTCACAATTCTTTAGTGCTTAACACAGCATACTTCTTTAAATTCCTTTTTTCAAATATTTACCTTTTAAAGAATAAACAAATCAATCGTTTTTTCTGAATTTTCACTTGGTTTCTCTCACCACTCTTCAACTTTTCACCAACAAAATTAGGGATAAATAAGTCGTCTTTCTGGCTTTCGGTAAATCTGATAAATATCGATTATATGATTTTCTAACAAGCGCAAAATATCGATTTTTCGATATGTTTTGGGGAGCTAACCATCCCTGGAAAGTGTTAATTTCTTTTTTCGGTATTTAAACAACACTGCAGCGTAATACCATGTTTACGTTAGAACTTTTTGTAGGGTTAACCTACTTTGAGAGGATTTATTTGAAGTAAAAGTAATGGATATGACAATTTAAATCCAAATCCAGTGGGTTAACCCTCATATATATATATATATAAACGTACTTTAATGGTCACGTTAAATCAAGAAGGTTAAGTCATTTCAAATAAGGCTATCCATTTTTGAATTTTAAATTTCACTGAATAAAAAACACGTTACCATCCCCGGTTACTGTTGGTTAAATTTTGATAATGAGATGTTGTCAAAAAATTATAAACACATGACTTCACCTTCTTAATTCTCTCATGGTTATAATATTATGCTCTAATTGTGAATTTTTAATGTTTAAAGTGGTTTTTTTCTGTTCGATTGGTTGTGTTGTTTTGACATAATTCATAAAATGACGTTGTTTTTGTTTGCAAAGAGCTCATGACAGAGGCATGTCAGTATAAAATCCACAATTACAGAAACGAATGACAAATGAAAGTTTGAAAAATCCGAAAATGTGGTTTCAAAATTCTACTCCATAGACCTTTCCAAAAATTTGTATATTGTCTTAGCAATTTAAATCAGTTAACATTAGTAACTATGTTGTTATGACATAATAAAAACAGAGGTATTTTCACAGGGTTGCCATATTTTGTCTCTGACTTGTCCTATCTTCATACCTCTATGTATTTGGTTTTTTGCGGTGTAAAGTGTACCTTTCACTCTTTTGCGAGTTTTACTAGAATGTAAGTAAGGCCCAGTATTATTGTTGGTCTAATTTTAAAATTGAGGGAAAAACTTGGAAATGCTTAAAATCTCAATTTAAAGTGATAGTGTGTGCTCATGGTAGAAGAATATAGGTAGACGCATCGACGCAGCTGTTGGGACAATGAACTGTCAAACCAATTTTGGAATTTAAAATGCTAACTGAAAAATTATTTAAATTTGTAAAAATTGTTAAAAATGAATATTAAAATAACCTCAGAATGACGTCGTATAAGAAAACATATAAAAATCTACTTATATTTTAAAAGAAATTTAAAATTTTTTGTCATATCAATGCTCCCAAGCGTTGATGCATCTACCTGTATGTTTCTACCATGGTGTGTGCTATTTAATTGATCATTTATTCAATAAAAACTCGGATATTCCTGCAGGTTATGAATCAGACCCCACATATAACAAGTTCTTCGCAACTCGCACCTTTCTCTTGTAGTATGTTTAGATTACAGCCGGGACAACCATAACTGCAAGAATATAAGAAATTTTACTCTGATAACCGATTTTTTAATTTGTGTCCACAAAAATTGCGAATCTAACATATTCTTGAAGTTTCATTGACGTTAAACTATAAACATACCATGGTACAATGAAGAGAAGGTAGGGCAACTTTAAAAAAATTGCAAGTATAGAGGTCTACCTGTTTGGCTTGTAATGTCAGAATTAGTATCAAAACAATAAAAAAATCAAACAACTTGTTGCATTTATTTTGAATAAATAATTGAAAACCGCGAAAACTGAATGAAAGGTCAACACTTCTTTTCAAAACCAGGTTCTATATATCTCTAAAGGATTATTTCGCTACAAAAACTCTAGATTTTGTCGATGCATACGATGAAATAAACATTTTGAAAACATCCGAATTTGAATGTTTTCTGAACAATTTTTTTTGTTATTGAAAAGAAAACACATACATAAACAAATAAAGATGACATTTTAAGCCAAGAAAATAAAAAAATTGAAATCATATGGTATCATAGCCCTACCTTGATATCATTGTACCATGAAACATACTAGTCATGGTAGAAGATTACTGGTAGTTGCATCGACACAGCTACTGGGACAATGAACTGTCAAACCAACTTTGTAGTTGAAAATTTTGAATGAAAAATTATTAAAATTTGTAAAAATTGTTATAAAATGCGTACCTACCAACCTCTGATAAGCGTTAAATAAGATAATATATAAAAATCAATTTATTTTTGAAAAAATGACATATCAACATACCAAACGTTGATACATCTACCATGGTACTAGTCCAAAAACATATATTTCCCAAAACATGCAAAAATATACTAGTTCTCCATTTTGTAAAAGAAAAATCAGCGTATTAAAAAATGTTAAATTCTTTCAGTTTCAGAACAGATCTGGAATGGAGCAATAATAATTTCGAGAAAATTTAAAAAATCGAAATATGTTTTAGAGTAAAAGAAAAAACTTGGCTCTAGAATTCCGTTATTGTAATAACATTTAAACAATTTAGCAGATTTTGGAACAGGTCATCTGTTTTGCCTTTTTTTCCATGTAACCATTCATGCTTTCGTGATATGTTAATACCGAATAATCGCCTTGTCAAATGTAGACCTACACATCTCTAAGTGCAAGAACAAAATCGAGTTCACTCATCGATTTGTTTCTCTTTCGATACATCAATACATAAAGTCAATTGGTCAAAAGTCGATCTGTGTAAACCTAACAAAAAAGAAGAGAAGTTTGTTTTTGTTTTATCACATATACAACTGCATTACACTCATTCGTAAACAACAGAGTACGCCGAGTCTTTGCTTTCTGTTTATTTTTTATCGAGTATTCCTTTGTGGCCTTCATATTCGTTTCGTTGGGACGTTTTTCTTTTTTGGAGAGAAGACAATCAACTCCTGTTTTGCACATATAGAACTCGAGTGAATTTGCATTGAGACAAACTGGTTGCACGTAAATGGAAAGCTCTTCGGTTGTAGATAAACGAAAAGACACTAATGGATAATATTGATGTGAACTATGGACCGCTGCACACGAATCGACATCAAGTCTTAGCCAAATATAGTACGGCACTCAGACAATTGCGTGCATTTGCCGAGAAACACTATGAGGTGCGTCCTTTTGTCTTCGATAACTTTGTGCTCTTCCAATACTTTCAACAAAGCTCCAGTGATAGTAACAATGAATCGTCAGGCGGTTCCGGATCGGAGGAGAGAGCCAGCCGTGTTGGCATTATGGGGTTTTCACCCATGAATTATCTGAAAATGGAATTGCTCAATCACATACTGGATCGTAAACGGCAAATTTTATACTATATATTTTTTCTGATCTTGGCCCTGCTTTGCTTCTTTGTGTACCGTCATGAGGTGGCGTCGTCCGAACGTAATATGCAATCGTCGATAGTTTATCCCGGTATGCGTATATGGCGTCGTATGACATTGCCGTTGATACAACGATTTCCACGATTAACTGAACTCTACGATGAGTCCTGTCTCATGGGTAATCCATTTTTTCAAGTGATGGATGATCTAAGCTGTTCGACGTGTGCCCATGTCGATGGTGTCATCGATTTGACCAACACCATGGATAGTATGGGAATTAGTGATGAGAAGGATGGAAGTAATGAAAGCGAGGGTGGAGCAGATGCCTCTGCGTTGAACAAACTGTTGTATTCGGAGTATGTGCCTTTTGTGTTTAAGGTAAGATAAGACAATGTTTTTGATAGATGTTCAGCCTTGTTAAAAATTATTTCTTGGAAATGCGTTTTGTTAGTTATATTGTTGCAAAGTTTCTTTGGCAAACTGAAAATAGATTATAAGATTCCATGTTAAAACTGGCACCCTCTTTGGGCGTTGTTATTAGTTTCAAATCGAAGCTAAGTTCTTTGCATGTGTGTTGAAATTATTTAAAAAAAATCAGTAACTTTCCTCAAATTCATACAAATTATCTTATAATTTAAATATAGGTGAGATAAGAGCGCACATTACTGTTACTATCTAAAATGATTTGTTTATTCAAAAATTCAATTAATATTATTTCGTCTCTTTTTCAGATAAATCAAGAGCCCATTGAACTTGAAGATTTTCACAAAATATTTGTGGACAATCAGGAAATCTTTCGTCGTGATGCATATCGGGTTCAATCGACAAATCGAGATATTAACAATCTTGATGAATTGTTTAGCCAATTCAATCAGACAGTGAAACAACAAGCTCATAATTTATGGCGTTGTAATCGCATGATACCAGCACGTCTATTGCGACAGCTGATACCGAGACCAGCCAAGCTACCAAGTAGTTTGGCCCTAGAAAGATTCATGGCAATTGATACAATTCAAGCCCCATCATATACTCTACCAGACACTGAGTGTCCTCATGTATACATTCAACAGGCATTGGGTACACGTTTCATAATACTCCGACCAACCAGTGAGTGTCGTCATCGTTGTCGTACACTATCCATGCGTTTGCCACAATCTTTTGTCTGTAAGTAAACCATGAATTGCAGCAATCATACGATGATCTCTAAAATGTGTTGTTGTCTTGCATTTACAGTAAGTTATAATCGTTATTGGAAACCGATCTCTGCCCCTGATCCAGTATCGGATACCATGTCTATCAGTCTTATTGGATCTTATTGTTAAATTAAACCAAATACAATATTATGCATATATGTTTGCACATATGGGAATCTTAATAACAAAAAGCTACCAAGTTACCCGGGAGGCAGCTTATGTTGTGTTTTGATTTTTGGTGTTTTGAATCCGATATATGCAAATCCATCAACATCAAATTGCAAATTTTTTTAAAAATGTCCTATCATCATCTCAACACAAAAGCAACTACACATAAATATTTTTAATTTACATATGTGTTCAGTTGATTTCCCTTTTTAGGAAACCACAACAAAAAATTCTAGCAGTGTTTTATTGTTGAAAGAAAAGAAATTAGTTTTAATTAATATCCAAATTGAACACTAACATTAAGAAGCCTAGTATAGGTTCATCTAAGAACGAGTCCAAAATTAGCAATGACATTTTTTAATACGATAATGAAAACAAAACAAAAAAACAATTGGAATACATTATTTAGAAACAAAATATTTTGCTTGAATGTCAATTAAGTTTATTTTGTTTACAACCACTATAGGAACTTAGTACTAGGCTTTTAACAATTTTATAACCAATTAAATGTTTATACCTACTATATATGCCATTATTTTTATAACCTTCCAAATATAATAAGTACTTCCTTAATATTACGACTCATTTTTAATTTTATCACAAATTTTATGTTTTTTTATTACATTATATACAAGACTTTTGTTTTCAATACAATTTGGAATTTATGAATATATTATACTTTATATACATATTATATATATGTTTTTCGTTTTTACACTTCATGTATCACGTATTTTAAAGCAACAGGAAACAAAAAAATAACAACGATGGCGCTTATTTATGTATGGCTACGTATGTATATTTTTTCAAATATTTACACTTTAATATTGTATAATACAAATGAGAAATATTTTTTTAGTTGCATGTATGTAATACTAACTAATAATGTATATTCAATGAAATTTAATTTCAAATAAACGAATATGGGAAAAAATGTATTGAAGTGGATTTTAAATCTGAGATGTTTTGGAAGATATCAGTGATGATTTCAAACTCAAGAGTTTCGAAAATGTCTGTTTGATTTGTTTGGCCCAAAGTCGAACTTACCCGATTTCCTATTTTTGGGGGGCACCAAAATCGTAATATCTTACGATTTGAGATTTTGGAACATACGACCGAATTCATACTAGATGTGTAATTATGAAATTTGTTTTTTGAATGCCCCAAAGCTGCAATATATACCACAACATGTATATCATACAGCAAAAAAAAAAAAAAACAAATTCGTGAATTTAATATAGATCAATAGCCAATGCTAACATGGCATTAAACATTTTCATTCGAGGACCATCTGCCAACCATTACGTGTGAATGTCAACTCTCGTTCTATCGATCTAGGGAGCATTTGTGTTGTCTTTCTTCGTTTCAGTGTTGCCATATCGCAGTTTCTTTGTTCGTTATTCATTTTTTTCTGTCCTCGGAAGCGTCGGTTAGTAAATTGTTAATTCGTATTTAATTTTTTATGTATTTCGTATAAAATTTGTTTGAAAAAATATGTCAATGTGCAGCATATATGTGTGCGTGATTGTTGTTACCATGAGTGCTCAGAAATCAATAAACGACCATTAAAAAGTCGAACCGAACATAACCACCAATTGAACTTTGATTTTGAAGCTTTGGTTGTGTGTGTGTGCAATTGAAAAACACGAAAAAAATACAACTAAATTACATATGTTTTAATAAATAAAATGAATTTATAACTAAAAATTTAGTAAAAAAGTGCTATGCTATTCGAACCGAATGTACCCTAAAACTTTAGCCACCCGGGGCTTTATTATTATTTGTCAGCTCCATTAAGAAAATCTAAATCTAATCTAAACGATAGTAGCAACTAGTTCCGCGCTCTTTAGTGAAGATATTCAATTTTTCTACGTCTCATTCGTAAACAACAGAGTACCCCGAGTCTTTGCTTTCTGTTTATTTTTATCGGGTATTCCTTCGTGGCCTTCATATTCGTTTCGTTGGGACGTTTTTCATTTCGTTTTCCACGCTCGCAAAAACAATCAACTCCTGAACGACAACATTCATTGCATTTTGCGAAATAAAGTAATTTTTAATGTAAATCGTGCAAAACGAAAATGATAACTTTAACAAGAAACAATGCCAAGGAACGCTGTCGGACATGCCTGCGAAAATTGATAAAAAACGAATTGGAATTTACCGCAGTAGATGAGAATAGTGGTGACAAGAATAATTTCATTTGTATCAATGCGAATAGGGTAATTCGTGATTTATTAGAGAAATATGTTGGAATTGAGGGATCCAGTGAAGCTAATCAGGATGCAGATTATCCTCTCAATGTGTGTATTGAATGTGTAAAGCAATTGCAAACGTTTGAGGCGTTTCGTCAGAAAGCTTTGGACAGTGCGGAAAAATTGTACAGGGTTTTTTGTGGAACAGCGAATGTGCATAAAATCGAATTGGACGATGATGGTATGGAAAGTAAGGAAGTTGTGCGAGAGCAGCTTAGTACAGGAAATGACAATGATGTCTTCAATTTGCTGGTGAGTAGGGTTTTAACATTGTTTGAGAGGTCAGTGGTTTGTTGACATAATCAAGTTTCCAAAATTTTACTTTTAACTAAAAATTTTTCCAATGTCTTCTAATTTTAGCTTAAAGACTCTCTTATGGAAACCGAGGCCATTTTGCTGGAGGGTAATGGCACTGATAATGTGGCAAATAGTTTAGATCCCGATCCATTTCAAACAGACACCGGAGAAAATAAACGGAGATGCCGAAAAGGGAAACAAAAAGAAAATATTGTCGCAGAGAAGACCACCAATCATTTGGCCAAGCCCACTCGTAGATCGAAAAGAGGCAAGGAGGCAGAAAATACTGAAACAAAAACCGAAGAAGTGCATTCCAGTAACGTTATCAAGGAACCATTGGCATCGGAGACAAAGCGGGAATCCCCACAAAAAAATAATGGAAATTCGAATGATGAAAAGCAATTATCTGATGATGACATTCACGATTGGCCTTTAGATTTCCAGGTGGAATATAGCGATGATAGCAGCACAGATAATGAGGTATTAAGCAAAAGGATACAACGAATACGCAAGGCAAGCAATAGGGAGAAGAAAACAAAGAAAATAACAAAAAATAGCCCCGATATTGAAAAAGCTGAGGATAAATCGGACTCTGATTGTGTATTGTATTCAAAGGAGAATGGAGAAAAGAATAAATGTCCCGATTTCAATAATGAGGAGCACAGTAGTGATCCGGAAAATAATGATATGAATGATTTTCAACCAAGTGAAACCGAAACAGACGGCTTATCGTCTGAATCCGAATTTGATGTGGGACAGGACAAAAAGAAAACAAATTCCTCTTCGACGAAAAAACGTTCAGCAGCTAGTGGTCGTAAAAAGGGCTTGACAAATAGCTACAAATGTGAGCAATGTAATCGCAGATTTGGCCATAAGATCACACTAGATGCTCACATACGAAAGATCCATCAAGGGGAAAAGAGAGCCTACAAATGTGAGTTATGTGACAAGTCTTATTCTTTCATGGGTGGCCTTACAACACATATGCGTGAAACGCACGAGCGCCAGGAGGAGGCATATGAGTGCAAAATTCCCGGTTGTGAAAAGAAGTATACAAGCTATATAACATTACAGCGGCATGTTCGTGTGAAACATCTAATGAGTGAAGTGCCCACACGATATGTTTGCGAACAATGCGGTGCCACATTTAAGCAAACTTCCAATTTACGTTATCATATGCGTACACGTCACCCCACGGAGGATGATTTGAAGCTGAAAGAAATCATAAAAGAACGTCTGGAATGTGAAATCTGTAAGAAATTCTTTAATTCTCAGTACACACTGAAATATCACAAACTACGCATTCATGCCGATGACAAAAAATACGAATGCAAAATTTGTGGTCGACGTGTGGCAAAACAGTTTATGCTGGATCAACATATGCTTGTGCATTCCGAAGATAAAACCGCCTGTAAATTTTGTGGTCGGGAATTCGTGCGAAAATATCAGGTGGAAGCCCACATAAAGGCTGTCCATCAAAAACTCAAACCCTTTCAGTGTCCGCATTGTAGTGAAAGTTTTGCATCGCGTAAAACTTTACGCCATCACATATACATTCACACGGGAGAGAAACCCTATGTTTGTGATATATGTGGCCAGGCATATCGGCAACCAACATGTCTAAAAAATCATCGTAAAATACACAATAAAAATGCTGTGGTCACAGCTGCAGGAAGTGACAAAAATGTAACTACGCCAACAACAGATGGTGTGGCAGCAACAAATACAACAGTTACAGGAACAGGTACTTCTGCAATAGCCGCTGATACATCGGCAATGAATATCAACCGTAATTTTATGAATAATTTAATGCAAGGCAATGAAGATGCTATGGCACCTAATTTAGATCTGCAATAAGAAAAATTATGTTTTTAGTTATATACATACATTTTCGAATGTAGTTTTTAATTTATATGATGTAAGTTTTTATTATTTATAATACCCATATTTTTTAATGCAACCATCACTGTATATAATAAAGATATTTGCATCTTTATTTCATATCATTTGTATAAATCCAAGGCATCATTCGTATAAATCCATTAAATTGTTCTATGGGAGTAACTTTTGGCGATTGATATTAAAAATGACCTGCTGTGTGGAAATTTTATATATAAAAACATCTTGGGGATAACCTCTTAATATCTACTGTATTATCCTCATCAAGCTCAGACGAAGAAAAATCATTTCAAATTCTAATTTTGTTTAGTTATTTATTTCTGTGCATTATTTATGTCGCATTAGTTGTAGGATCTGTTTTCTTAATTGATATCCCACTTAATTTTACGCCTTTCGTTTTTGAAACCTCTTCCACTTCTTTGTCTATGTACACATCTAAGTCTTCCAAAGGCTTATAGTACATATGAACCAATTGTGAACCGGCCATCATTGATAAAACGGCACAGGACATAAATTTTAAATATTGGCCCCAAGACACACCAGCTGGCATTGTGATTTTTTTATTTGAACGTAGTTATGCTTCAAGGATTATTGTGCTGCCGCTGCAATTTTCTCAGCTTCGGGATTGTTGTGATGCAATTGTTCCTCAACGTAATTTTTGGCTTGACGTCTTTTAAATGTACGATCTATAATGGGAAGGAAATATGTCAAACCATTTTTTTTTCTTGTTGTTTATTTTAGTCAACTTACAGAAATTTGTTTCTCCCACAGTCCAATTGATCATGGAATACTCGAGAGCAGCTCCCAAACAAAAGAACAATGGCAAAAAACGATAGACACCAAAGCGTTTTTTACCGGGTATGCTATCCAAGATGCGTTTAAGTGTGAAGCTATAAACTTTCATATCTGCAAAGGAAAAGATTCAAATGATAACCGATTTAAAAAAATGTTGCATGTGATTGGCTCATGTAAATAATTAAGCTAAGGGTGGAATAATACATTATAATTAATTAATTGTTTCATAGAGACACTTGCTGGGCACCACATGACTGACAGAAATTCTAATCGAATCTGTGAAAATGCTTTCACCCTAGAAATCTCGGATGTACTTTAACCGGTTCATAGAAAATTACATAATGTTGCTTTAGAATTGTTACAAGGATTTTATATTTAAGTTGAACAGGAGTTTCAATGTCGTAATAGATCCACCCAAAGGACCATTAGTATTTAAGATAAGGATGGAATACTACATCACCTAATTAATTGTTATATAGAGCCACTTGTTTGGCACCACATGACTACCTTAAATTCTGATCCAATGTGTGAAAATGCGTTTACCCTAGAAATCTCGGGCGTACTTCAACAGGTTCATTTAAAATTACATAATGCTGTTTTAGAATTGTTACAAGGATTTTATATTGAAGTTTGAGGATATTACTATTGAAGATAAGGAGTTTCAATGTCGTAACGGGGGAACCTTAGTATATAGGTAATGCATGGTATCCGGATTCCACATAAACATGCTGAAGTCATACGTTTACAACCTGACAGCAGATGTGGAATAACCTTTGGTATGGTAAATAAAACTCACTTGGTTTGGTATACTAGGATAATTACCAGTTATGTTGGTTTGTCATAAGGATACACTTTCTGTATTTAATTTATTAATATTTTAATTTTCTATTTCCTTTCGTTCCTTTCGTTCCTTTCGAGTTGTGTCTGTTGTTCTTCGATGAACTAGAGCGAGAGGGATAGTTCACTAAATAAAACCATCGGAACTAGTTCTAGTTCGTTTATTTCATGTTGAAGTTTGATAGTTCCTTATTCATCTGTTCATGCGTTAAAATAGTATTCAAAAAGAAAAAAGAATTAATAAATAATTAATAAAAAATTAATAGTAATTAAGTTTTACAAAAATATCAGAAAATTTTCACAAGAGAAAAATATACAACTTTCATTTAAACCAATTCACACGTAGTAGGTTTAAGGTTAGGGAAACATTTTGTGAGAGGAGGCTTTCCTATATGGGTAGGGTGTCGGACAAAAAGCTATTTCATATTATGTTATACCATATTCTAATTGGATTTTTTTCTATGTTCGCTCTAAAGAATTACCTACACGTATTAATGTATTCATACAAAGCGATTTGTTTTTCATAGTAACATACTTCCTCTTTTTTTCCCGACTAATGATACATGTCGTCATAAAATTATAATAATTTTTTATTATTCTTTCCCTCAGGAAGTTTCACATAAATAAATGCTATGTAAGCTTATTTACTACATTCAATTAGGAATATAAACATTCCTGTCCGTCATTCAATTCCAAATCAATAACATTTAACAAACTAGACATAAATAGCTAAATTCATCTTATAATTTGAAGTATTTTAACAGGTGTTGTTCTATCCCAATATAAATGGCTTTTCTCCAAAGGTACTACAGATTTTTCCGTTACAACGAATTTCAAAGAGTCTGAAATAAAAAAAACATATTCAAGTGAAATGCAGGGAATATTTTCAAAACTCCCACAAATTCTTACCTAACTTCTTAAGAAATCCATTTAAAGTGTGTTCGTTTCTTACGGTGGCGGCTAAAAACATTTCCACTTTGTCATTACGGAGTTTGAATGCATAATAAATGGCAAATGATAAATCATCAAAGGAACTATCATCATAGACCACATCAGCAGCTAATAACACTTCCGGACACAATTCACGAACCTCTTCAATCTTATCAATACCGTCCCAAGGTATTACGGAGCATTGAAGAATTTGATGCTTCCAAGAATATTTTCCTACGTGATTATCTTTCACCGCATCTGGAAAATTACGTTCAACACTTTCGCACATTAATTCAACACATTGTGAACTTCCATCGCTTATCATCAAATGTTGGGGTTTGCACATTTTAAAAAGTATAAATCCACATAGGCCAGTACCAGCTCCCAGTTCTAAAATCCGTTTATTTTCCACTAAATCCTTGTGGTGTAGCAAAAAGTCGGACAATGCCAAAGAAGCTTGCCAACTGCAGAGACCTGTTGTGCCTTCAGCTACAAAACTTTTCGATTCGCGTAACGTAAAATGGGTTTCCTCGTCAAGTAGATAATGTTTAAAGGCATATTTTTGTGTACTATCTTCGGCGACACGCAATTGTACATCACAGTAACTCTCGTAGACAGTGTCATGTACCTCTGAGGTAGTTTGTTCCAAAAATACTATCAATTTCTTGAGGAAATTTAATTGATAGGCAATCTTTATAGGCAGTTTTTGATTTATGGCACAATTGTAAGTGGCTTCTATTAAATCCTTTTGTTGATCCCAGGTCATATCCGTTGGAAAGCTCTGCAGATTAATATTGAAGATTAAAGGTATTTACAGTAATTAGCAATAATGTGGAAACTTACTTCCCATTCAATACAATGCAAGGGGTAGCAGCACAGATATTGTTTTTGTATTTTTGTGAGGAAGATTTGGAAATCCTTGGAACTATTTTCTGTCATTTTAATAAATAAAATAACTTTAAACAATTAAAAATTAAAGGCATGAACAAATAACGTGTAACGAATTGTAACGAATAAGACTTGGGAAAGTGAGAGAAGAGAAAAAGAATCAAAACAAAAAGCTGGTGCTTAAATGGGATCCCTAGATCGCAAGCAAAAAACACAAATGTACGGGGTGTGTTCAGTTAAGTAAAGTTGATAGTTGCGTGCAGAACTGAAAGAATGGAAAGTTTTTGCTACGATTTTCCCATGGTAGAAGAATACAGGTAGTCGCATCCACACAACTGTTGGGACAACGAACTGTAAAACCAATTTTGGAATTGAAAATTTTGAATGAAAAATTATTCAAATTTGTAAAATTGTTAAAAAAAAATGCATATCATACCAACCTCCGATTGGCGTCGTATTGGAAAACTTCTACAAATCTACTAATTTTGAAGAAACATTTTGACATTTTTAAACATATATCGAATAAATTGCAAAACTAGTAGATTCTTGCAGGTCGCTCCATGCGAACATGGTATTAATTAAGAAATTGCATGTATGTATAATATGCATATGTAAATTGCATATGTTGTGATTCATTTTCTTTCACATAAATAAGTTTAATTGATTTTTAGTTTTCTGAGATATTTATGCAATTGCAATAATTATCATGATGCCGAGAACAATCAAAAATGAAAAGACGAGAAAAAGGTGGATCAGGGAGATGAATGATCAAACATTTACTCTTGATGGAGAAGAAATATTTTGCAACATTTGCAAAAAAGAGGCAGGATTGGATTTAGTTGTTAAATATCCAACATAGTTTTAAGAATTTTCAATTTGTTTTGCAAATTGTTTGCTATCGAAAGTCTCAGTTAAACCAACACTTGGCCACCAAAATGCATAGGAATATGTCGGGGGATTTATCAACAACCCAAAATGATGCAGAAAATGATTTTAATCAAGATCTTTGTCAAGCGTTAATAGATATCAGTATACCATTGCATGTGGTAAATAATACAACATTTAGATCATTTTTAGAGAAATACACACATAACGATGTACCCAATGAGAGTTGGCTAAAAACTTTTGATCTACGGAAATTGTATACACAAAAATTAAATCAAATAAGAGATGAGCTTGCAAATGGTCACATTTGGATATCAGTTGATGAGACAATTGATGTGACTGGACGCTGTATTGCAAATATCATTGTAGGAAAATTGGACATAGAAGCTGTCACTCGACCTTATTTATTAGCCTCCAAAGAGCTATTAAATGTTGATTGTTTTGCCATAACCAAATGTGTTAGCGAAGCTATTGATTTATTAGGCTTTAAAAATGAACAAATACTTTTGTTTGTGACAAATGGAATTTCATATATGCTTGAAGCTGCCACGCAGCTTAAAAGTCGATATCCAGATATGTTACACGTAACATGTTTTTCTAATGGCTTTAACATTTTAGCAGAAGCAATAAAATATGCATTTCCAAAGGTCAATGATTTTATATCCTGTGTACAGGCACTTTTTTCAAAGGCACCGCATCGGGTGGCATATTACAGGAAAGTACTAAACATTGAACTACCACCAGAACCCGTTGTTCACAAATCGAGTACATGGATTAAGACAATAGTTTTTTATGCTGATAACTTTGAGGAGATAAAGAAAGTAAGAACTTACGTGCCACTCATGTGTTATTTTATATTACGTTACGTCCTCATATTGTATATTTTCTTATTTAAGGTAATCCAATCATTTGACCCAGAAGACTCCCAATCCATATCACAGGCCCAGAAACTGTTGGAAAATGATAAACTATTTTATGACTTCATTTTCATCAAGTCCAATTTCGAGAAACTCTCTTTGATAATGGAAAAACTTGAATCTACTCAAATGTCATTAAAGGAATCTTTTAAACTTTTTTATGAAGCCGAGAATATTATACGTGACATATCAGGTGATTTGGGCGAAGTTTTATGTAATAAGTTAGGTCTAGTACTAGAGAGAAATGCCGATTTAAATGCACTTATGAGTGCGAATAATATTCTGAGCTATAATCAAGTTCCGGACGGAGATATGGGAATTATTAAATTGAAAAATATTATAAAATATAAATTTGCACCAATGAGTTGTTTTGATGCTGAGAGAATTTTCCCGGCATACAATTGGATAATTTCTGATAATAAACCAACATCAAAAATGAGTGAAATAGAAATGCTACTTATTTGTAGTTGCAACATTTGGTAAATAAAGATATTAGGCCTTTATTTACCAAATATTATTAAAATGTATAAAGAATTTTTAAAAATGGGATGAAAAACAAGAACTTTTTATATAACGGTAAACAGATAAAATGCAGAAAATTACAATGATTTTTGTTTTTAAATACATATCTTTAATGTATCCCAATAATAAAAATTACTTCCTGGTATTGATTATACAAAGTTTCCTTCCTTAAACAAGTAATAAACCTAATGATATTTTTATCTATATCAACAATAATAATGGCTATAGCAGCGATATACAAAGAAAGGCATTTCGAACTATTTCAAAAAAATTAGAATTTCCATGTAAAATGTAATGTCCGATCTATTGCACCGCTTCAGCAGATTGTACAATTGTCTTGGCTGCTTTCAAATGGGTTTTGGCGTGTGTCTTCATCGCAGTATGCTGTCTGAAACCTTGGCCACATTCCGGACATTTGTAAGGCTTTTCTCCTGTATGAATATACCGATGATGTCGCAGTGTGGCTTTAATACCAAAAGCTTCACCACAAATATCGCATATATGCTGCTTTTCCTTTAAATGCACCAGGCGGGTGTGACGTTTTTTCGCATCCGTATTCAAAAATCGAACATCACATCCTTCAAAATCACACTTTATCCGCTCCGTATAATCGAGATGTGTCAATTCGTGTTTGGTGAGGCCATTACGTCTAGAAAATGCCATCTCGCAAAAATTACATTTAAAAGGTTTTATTTTAACTTCGCTGTGATGAGTCATGGTGTGGTGCTTCAGATAATATCTGCACTTGAATACCTTGGGACACTGTTCGCACTTGAAATGTTCTGCCTCGGTGTGTAGGTTTTTTATATGAGCCGTTAATGACTCAACACTGGCCGCAAGAAAACCACATTGGTCACATATAACACGCCGACTGTTGATCGTACTTTCCGGATCTGTGGGATGTTTAATTTTCATGTGATTCTTGAGTGTTGTTTGTGTTTTGAATTGTTTATTGCATAACTGGCATAGCAGATTTTCAGAAGGGCTTGCAGAATGATTACTGGTAATGTGTTCGGTGAGATTTTTGTAGAACTTATACGCTTTGCCACATTCCTGACATTCGTAACCCTTCTTTACACCTTCGTGTACAATTTTGACATGTCCTTCGTAGCGCATCTTTTCATAGAAATACTTTTTACATGGTTCACAGCGATAAAGAGCCTTTTTCGCATTCGCAGCATTAGCATATTTATTGCGACAAGCTTTGGCTGTAATATGCAGCCGAGTATTTCTATCGTTTGGAGGATTTCTTCTACGACCACGTCTTTGCTTTGGCTTTGTAATTGTTTCCTTGGTATCATCGGTTGGGGTTTCACTGGTCGCGTTAAAATCATCATTTCTATCTGGAAAAGTACTATCCGAATCTGAGTCTTGCGAAGTATCTGTTTTAATGTCGTATTTTGATGGTGAAATTGAACTGACATTTTCATCACTGAGTGGTGTTTCATCTATATTATTTTGCTCTGCGACTGGTTCCAACATGGAATTTGAACGACTGTCTTGATAGAAAGGTGAACTTGTTTCATACTTTTCCACTTCAATTAAATTTGCCGTTGTCTCTGTTTCTATGAAGATTTTATTTTCCTGTAAGAATATTGAAAATTCATTATAAATCCATTTCTTTGTTGTGTCTACGTTACCTCTTCGATAGTCCCAGTGTACACGGAGTCATTTGGTGAACATGTCCTTGCTAGTTTCTTTAATTTCTCATTGGTTTTCAATAACAATTGGTATAGACGTGAAAATTCATCCCATTTCTCAAAACATACTCGACACAAATTCGGCATATGCGATTCCAAATCCTCAAGTCCACAACTTGTCCTTGTTGTTAGACACAGGCCAATTAGCCGCTGTACATCGGGAAATTTTGATATCACAACAAACTTTTTCGTATCCTGAACATTTTCCTCGTAAAATTCCAATTTTATTAAACATGTTCGACAGTGATACTTTAGCTCTTGCCAAGATAACATTGCTATATTTGTTTGGGTTTTAGCAGTACAGAGTCAATGGGGTAACAATGAAAACGGATATGACAAATTGCGGTTGTTTTATTTAAAAGGCGTCATTGAAAAATTGAATGCTTGGGTTTCTTTACATTCGTAAATTTCAGTACATTTTTATAAGAACAAAATTTATATTTATAAACTTGTATGTTTATTTTCATACGAAGTAAATTTTTTTAAGAGTATTTTAATATTATTTAAGCAAATATACTCATACATAAAATATGTATATGGTTTTTATTCAGATTATCACAAGATGAGAAATATTGCAATTAGTAACGTATCTGAAATGTATTTCGGAACTAATAGGAATGACTGACTGCCCAAATTTTCAAATTTGCTGTTTTGACACGCTTTACTAAGACGGTGATGTTACCGTTTCAAATCAATTACCGGCTACCATAAAACTTATCGTCGCCATTGAACTCTAAAACAGAGAAACAACAGCTGTTCTCCCTTCCATTGTTGTCGTTTGGTAGCGTATGTCTGATTTTGTGAAAAAACAATGAATTGTTTGTTTAACATCAACGTTTGTCGTGTTTGCATGCAAAATGAAAAAGGAGCCGATTTATTAAGTAATAAAGATTTGCTGGAGAAGTTTTCATATGCAACGCATCTAACGGTATGTATAAAAAATATTTTTAAAAAACTTGTTCTATTACAACATAGATTTGATTGTGGTACAATTCTTTTTGTAGTAGTTGAATAGTGGAGAGTTGCCATATTTAATGTTTCGAAAGGGGGAAATGACAAAACTCATACAAATGACAAGGGCAAATATTTATATATATATATTTATATTTTCTCAAGATAGTTAAAATTTTTAATCAACTTTGCAATATCTTTTAATTATATCATGAATAGTCTTATGATTGATAATATTTAAAATATTAATAATGATAATATTTTAATAATTAATAAAATAATAATCATAATAATAATATTTTAAAGAATACATTAAGATAATTTAGAAAATGTAATCTACGTTCCTTTTAAGAAAGTTTAATATAACGCATTAAAGAATCTCCCAGTTTGATTTATAGAGCTGAAAAACATATTTTCGGAAAGTTGAAAGGGAACGATTTTGGAGAGTTAAAGTGAAGAGGATATCTAATTCGGAACGACTTTTCCATTCGTCCACCCAAACGGGGTATTATGAATATTTTAAAATTTTATTTTATTTGTAACTATTTGGTTTACTAATTTTAGGCAAATGTAAAGATATTGTTGTCATGTTCATCTGCTTTTAGCCAACATTTTATCTTCCAAAGAATTTGAGATAGAGAGCTGAAATTTTGCACAAACATGTCATTGGTCTATGTTTAGGACAAGTTCGTAGACGGATAGTATCGACCAATTTTATGGCATCCATATACGTTACCTCCTAATTTTGTGTATTTCGATTATATTAGGTCCATCTTTTTCCTTAGTCTTCGGGTAACGGTATTGTTACTGATGTTAGCGATATTTTAACCAAATTGTTTTTAATCCATAACAGTATCACCACAGCGAGTTCACGATATTGTAATAATTTGTCCAGACTTAGCTAAGGTCATTGGAATGGTTGATGGTTTATGCAAGGAAAACTATTATTGCACATTGCTTCGAACTTATTGTATGTGCGAACTAATTCGTATTTAGAATCTGTAATTTGCCTGTTTATTCCCCTAATGCTTGCCAGTACGTCTCTATTATGGTTTTCAATCGGTTTAGAATAACATATTCCTCTCTGATTTGAAATTGTTTTCACTTCATCATCCCCAAGTACCCCTATTTGAGTTTAATTAGATTTGATTAAGTTTTAGATTGAGCATTCCATTTCTCAAAAAAATAAAAACTTGTTTCAGTTAACCCGAATATGTTCTTTTGTTTATTGGTTAAACAAAATTTCCTGTTTTGAGCTCAAGGTACAATATTTTTGTTATTCCTTTGAAATATGAATATAAATTGAATATTTCCAACTTAGAATCTTTTCATATTTTCAAAATACTCTTTTAAAAATTTTCCAATTGTATTTTATTAAGAATGAATTCATTTTACTTTATAATGATTTACTTCTTTTCCGGTACAGATTCCGCCAACCATTTCATGTATGGTAAATTTCCCTTTTCTATGGGCAGTGTTATAACCTCGGCCACACTGTAGGGATGATTGTCTCGTATCCATTTGGTCAGCTCTTCAACATGTGTTGTTTGTGTTTTGATCATCATCAAGTATTCGTTGTCCTCATTTACTTTTCCCTCCCACATATAGACGGACTGAATATTTGGTATAATGTTAACACATGCTGCCAATTTTCGTTCCACCAGACCGTGAGCTAATTTCTTTGCGATTTTATCGTCGGGTGTTGTTACAAATGCTACCGAACTTTTTCCAGATTCATATTTGAATTCTACATCCATTTTTGTTGTGTCGCCGTCTGCAGCAGTAGTAGATGATGATGCCGGTGATTCTGCCGTTGTTGATAGACTTGTTATTGTTGGAATTTTTGAACAGGATTTATTTGCTCCAACACCGGCGATAATATGAGAGGTCAATTTCGGAGCAATTAAGAGATATGAAGTTGTAAACAATATATTTTTTAGAAATAACATTTATTGCAAGTCGTCGAACCAATCGGCCTTCCACCCGGTATATTTTTAGCAAATAAAGCTCTAGTTCAATGGAAATATTCACGGAAAGGAACAATGGAATTAGTTCAATGAAAATCATTCGTTTAGTCCATTAATAGATCGGATAGATTGAGGTCTTTGGGACAGAATTTTAAATGAGAAAAGGCGAACTACGGAACTCAGATAACAGTGTCCGTGAGTCTGTTTCAATTACTCTATTTTCTGAACGAACTAATCTAGAGAGGTGAAATTGTGCACACATTTGCCATTTATGTCTGGGTTAGGCAAGCTAAATGGGCTATAATAGCAGTTCGAATAGATTTTCAAAGCCAGATTTTAAACAGTAATTCATGAAACCTAATCTTTTCACTACTGATCAGGCTTCCAGGGTATTTCTACTGTTCACATCAATGGGGGAATTTATTGAAACTAGCTGATCAAGATGGAGATTTTCATTTCGCCTAATAAATTTCCTATGTATCGTGAAATATACGACTCTCATCCAACAGATTTTGCATTTTAAGATAATTTACAAATGCTACACCCACCTTTGCCACCACTGTACCACCCTCGCTGCAAGTAATGATTGATAATGTGGTAGATAACTTTTAAACATTTTATTGTGAATAAGCCCAGAGCGCACGTCCTGGCACAAATGAGGATTCTCAATAACTGCAACGTCCACCTGGGGAATCCTAGGGTTAAAAATTATATACCATGCTGTTAATTTTGTCTAATGTAAAATTAGTAAAAATTTGAATGAAACATTTTTTCTTTATTTTTTATAGGTCAGCGAAAATGATAATTTACCCAAAATAATATGCAATAAATGTATTGCCCGCCTAAAAGTATCCCATTCATTTATAAAACAGGCTCACGATTCTGAAAATAACTTAAAGACATTTCTGGCCAAAATCAACAATGAATTTCAAGAGGTTACAAAGGCAAAGAATGCCGACACTTCCTCCAGCAATTACGAGGATAACGATGAACAAATGTTAACAGAAGAAGAAATTCTAGAGCATATAAATCAATATGATAATGATACTGGTAAAACGGAAAAATCTACTACGTCCACAACAAAATCGAAAGATCATTCCAAACAAACGATTTCTAACAGAAGAAAAGGAACATCAGCTGAGAAACATCAAAATGATAAGCAAACAAGTGTTAGCTTGGATACTAAAGCCCTTGCGGACTCCAAAAAATATGAAAAAGAGAAAGAATTGAAAAAATCAATTTTACTTCCCGCACAATCAAAATCGTCATTTAGTTTCAACAACCATGAAGAAACTGCATCAACCTTAAAGCTGGATAATATTAAAAATGATACGCAAATATTGGATAATGATGATGTGGAGGAACATGAAATCCACATATTGGAGCCAGAAACCCACATATCAGAGCATGAAACCTCAATTTCGGAGGAAAATGAAGAGGAACAAATGGAAGAAAATTTGTTGACGACTCTGCATGAGCAAATAAACAACAATTCAGAAGATGAATCTCATGTAATCAATGCACCCGATATTGATAATGCATTGGATGAACTTAATGGGCAAGAGGAACATAATTTTTCCGATGCTGATATAAATGATGAAAATGTCCCACCTGAAGACACAGAGGAAGAAAATCAGCAAAATTTTACAATTAATGACGAAAGTTCATCGATAGAATTTAGTGTATTGGGAATAGAAGAAACACATAACCCGCAAACAATTCAACAAAATATCAATGCAGAAGAGGACAATGAAGAGGCTGCTGCTGATGAATATTTAGGACAGTATAAGACAATGCTTGACAATCAAGATGCCGAATTGCGGTACAATACAGATGAACACTACACTGAAGAAAATTCTGTTGAGAATTCAAAAATTAATGAAAATATAAATTACACAAGTAAAACTCATCCAGATCAAAGCAATGAAATAACCGAATTTAATAACAGCGATAATGTTGATATGAAACACAATGTCATAAATGATGCAGATGGTGATCATAATCATGACAATTCCGATATGTACGCCAACTATATGGATGTTGATTATGATCGAGTTACGGCAACATCATCTTCGATAGGAAAGGTCAAAACAACTACAACCATTCAGCGAAAAGTCCACCGTTTCTATTGTCAACAATGTGATCGTGATTTTAGTACAAAAACAAATCTCAATCGTCATATGCAATCGCATGAGGGCAAGAAACCCCATGTCTGCCCACATTGTTCGAAAAGTTTTACACAAAAATCCACACTGAAACAACATATTTTTACTCATACCGGCGAGAAACCATATATATGTGAATATTGTGATCGTGGATTTACCCAATGTAAAAGTCTAATATTCCACACGAGACGACATACCGGATATAAACCGTTTCAATGTGAATTTTGTTTGATGACGTTCCGTCAGAAGGATGCTTTGAGGGTGAGTGTTGTGGAAAAAAAAAAATAAAATAAAAAAAATTAGTACGGGAAATCCAACAGATTATGAAAGTAGCGAGATAGAAAAAGAAGACACGTGTATCGGAGTTTACCTCGCCAAGTAACCTAAATGGAGGGAGAAAGTTCCCCCCTTTTCCACTCTTTTAAAACATTTTCACATTAAGATTCCTCGGAATCTGTGCATTTTGTAGATCCACGTTCTCGTTTAACCCCCATATAACGGTACCTCCAATTATTCGGTATTTTGATAATTTCTGCGACATTATTCACCGAAATTGTTTCAAATTTCGTATTTAAAGATTTTTAATGAGGACTACAGCCTAAGACGAAAAATTACACATCCCAGCCCGCGTCTTCGTATAGCCCCTATATGACGGTACCTCTCAATTTTCGGTATTTTTATGATATTAAAGACATTGTTTCAAGTTTCGTATTTGAGATCGTAACGCGTTCTACAAACTATGACAGAAAATTGTCTATGCAGGTTCACGTCTTCGTATAGCCCCCATATAACAGTATCTCCCTTAATTCTCTATTTTGATGAATTTAGCGACATTATTCACTGGAAATGTTTCAAATTTCGTACTTGAAGTTCGGAATCGGTACTACAGCATATGTCAAAAAAATCATTATGCAGGACCACACCTTCGTATAGACTCGATTAACGATTTTTATTCAAGCGACATTTTTCGGAATTTTTTGAAAAAGTTCCTCCCAAATGGCAGGGGTATTAAGGCTGCGTTTTTGCTTGTTTTTTTGTTGAGTTTTTCCTCGGACTTTTATCGAGTTATCACCTGAAGCAACATAAAATTTCGTTTTAGGCGGAAGGTGTTAAAAGAAGAAATATTCTCCACAAAATTTTACTATAAATCTCAGAATAAGCCAATAGTTTTTATGAATATTGCTTTTATTTAATCAAAATCTTCCTTATCCTTCATTTTTTTTTTTTTTGGCAAAATTTCAAACTAAGTATTATTCTAGATCAAATTTCATTGCGAGTCTCTGAACAAAAGACTAAATTTTTATCATAAAAAATAACATCAATTTTTTATAAATAAAGAACCTTGTTTATTTCTGAACAAATTAGCATTAGCCATAATTTTCACGTGACCAAAGGCCAACAGTCACAAAGTGTTGAATCACATGATCTTATGGGATAATTGTGCTTACATCTTTGAGAGATAAAGTTTCGGACCTTTTTACTTATTCACGTTTTTCCTCTCAGATTCATTATGCTTGAATATACAAGGTTTTTTGCCTGACCTTTTCTAAGGTGGGAATACATAAAGCGCTTATCTGGCTGGCCTCTTCGGAAATGAACAAAGGAGCCTAGGTCCAAAATCGAACTAAGTCAAGAAGCCAGCCGATGACTTTAGTCAGCCAAATATGCGCTTTATGTATTTCCACCCTTAGATTTGTTTACGTCAATTTTCCTAGTTGTCATTTTTACATTGTAGCTATTCAATAATGTAAAGTAACACTTCTCGAACCCCCTGATGTTCCCCTGTGAGTTTTAGCCTATGATAGCCAAGATTTACATGACAGATTTTACAAATGAGGCAAATTGAAAGTTGTTTTTTTATTGTAAAAAAAAAACAATTAACTCAAATCGATCCTAATCTTCGAATGCATTCATACCAATGAGAGCTATCATCAACTAATATAAATTGCCCCATCAGCAACCATTTTCCAACTATTCAGTGTTTAATTGAATCGAATATCGTTAGAAACTGATTAGAAAATGTTAAAAATATTTCAATTGCTGTGTATTACGAGTCTATTTTTCCATATGAAGGTATGTGGGCATTATTCAACTGGAGTTTGCAACTTTTCTGATATATGGTTATAAATTCTCTAGGCCCACGACTATGCCATTGTCGGTGACGATATGAGCTTTATCCAACCCTGTGATGAGTCCGAAGATGATGGAACTACCAAATTGGGCGAATTGGTAACATTTTATTTAAATCACGATTATGCCGAGGATATGGAAACGATAGTTTCAAATGGCAATATAACCATCAACGTTGGTATTCCCGCAGAAACACAAATTTTGGTAAATAAGTGTTTTTGTGTGGTGTCAAAGGGCACGGATTGATCAAGAATTAAAAAACACGTATTTGGGAATATTTCAATTCTCACCTTTAGAATATTTATGTTAGGAAAGTCAATTGCTTTACTCGGAAATCTTTGATCCAGTGTGCTCATCCTTGGAAAATTATTAAAATCGGAAAGTGGGAATTTTGAAAGCACAAATTTAGTCGTTAGAATTTTTTAAATGATAAATAAGTCAACCTAAAACTCCTTTGTTCTTTTACGAAGAAGCCAGCCGATGACTTGAGGTGAGAATACATAAGGCTGCAAATACATAAAAAGCTTGAAGTCATGGCTAGGCATATTAATGCCAAATTATAATGAAAAACGACGGCAGGATTTTAGTGCGGCTCTGTAATTCCTTTATGAAATGTCACAAAATAGGCCGTACCATGACTTCAAGCTTCTTATGTACTTAGCCCTTAAAGCGCTTATTTGGCTGGCTTAAGTTATCGGCTGGCTTCTTCGTAGGGGAGCAAAGGAGGAGGAGCCATTTTAAAAATTAGTATAAATATAGCATGCACGCGGAGAGATAAAAAAACTGCAGCAAAGTCAAACGCCAAAATTTTTATATATTTTTTTTAAATTTTACTGAATGTAAGCAAAAAATGTCGGAAATAGCATCAAATTTTAGAATGAGGTTAGATTTGTTCGAATTGGTCATTTTCGGAACGAATTATGGCCTTCAAACGGCCAATAAAACCGTCACACACTGCCCGAATGTTGCTCTCCGGTATTTTGGCCCATTCCCGGCGAAGCGCTTGTTGTAGGTGATCGACACTTTGGTATTTTTTAGTGCCAACCTTGCTTTCCAAAATACTCCATTATTCTGATGCCAGCGTCGATTAATACCAGGGTTGGGCATATTGCACTAAATTTTTAGTGCACTAAGAATCAAATAATTAGTGGTAGTGCAATTTTTAACTCCACTACCACTAAAGGGTTAGTGGTAGTGAAAAATAAATTGCACTACCACTAACCCTTTAGTGATATTTAAAAAAAAATTGCACTACCACTAAATTTTAGTGGTAGTGAAATTTTAATAGCACTACCACTAAATTTAGTGATTTTTCAAAAAAATTTGCACTACCACTAAAATTTGGCGAAACCAAAAAAAGCACTATGTATATAAATATTATACCAGCTATAATGAAGTTTATTGAAGTGAGTAGGGAACAACAATCCAGAATATATAGTACATATTCATAAAATTTAATTACTTTTCTAAATAGCACTAATTTAGTGCTATTTTTTATGAAATACCACTAATTTAGTGCAAGTTTTTTCAAATACCACTAAATTTAGTGGTAGTGCTATTGAAATTTCACTACCACTAAAATTTAGTGGTAGTGCAATTCTTTTTTAAATATCACTAAAGCGTTAGTGGTAGTGCAATTTATTTTTCACTACCACTAACCCTTTAGTGGTAGTGGAATTAAAAATTGCACTACCACTAAATGAATAGTGATAGTGAAATTATTAGTGCACTAAAAATACAGAGCATTATGCCCATCTCTGATTAATACGAGCGGAGAGCGACCATCGGCTGTTATGGCGGCCCACACCATTACCATGGCTGGTGCTTGAGTTTTGGTGGCCAACCGAAAGTGCATATTTTCAGCTGACCTCTTTGGCAAGTAAACACGATAATTTTGTTTGTTTACAAACTGCTGGACAAGGAATGTTTTCTCATGGGAGAAAACCAAATTCGGCAGTTCACCTCTTTCGGCCAAGCGAACAAACTCTTTAGCTCCATTGAGTCTATTTTCTTTCTGTTGTAGTTTAAGTTCTTCACTTTTTGGAATTTCAATGGCATTACCCCGAGCTCATTTTTCAATATTTGCCAAATGGAATATTGCGATATGTTCAGCTCACGAGCCATTTTTCGTCCACTTTGACGCGGGTTTCGATCAAGTCGCTTCTTTGCTTTTCGAACCATTTCTGTGGATGTTGCTGTTTTCTTCCGTCTACTCCCTTGACTTCGGGCTACGCTACCAGTAATTAACATTTAAATGCTGAAGTGCTCTAACGATAGCCAATTGTGATTTTCCAGCCAAATATAAAGAAATCACACTATTACGCTTGAATTCCATCACGAATAACATTTTTTTCGGGAAAATTCTCACCAAAAAGCTTTTGTACTCTTGTAAACAATATAATGAGCAGTCACTGGAAAAAATTTAACAGCTGTCGGACGAGTGATTTAGAAATGACAGCAGTCTGAAGTTGATTGCAGTTTTTTCATCTCACCCTGTATATATCTATGCGCTTGAGGATGACAATTTTATACCCAAATATTCCTTATAAAATACGATGCAATTTTATTAATAGAATACAATTTCTACGATATAAAATTGTTTAACATTATTCAATGTCAATTAGGGAGAAATGGAAATCTACAAATGGGAACGTGGCCATTGGGTCAATACTGTCTTTTCCATCAAACGTCCCGATTCGTGTGCGGCTATATTTGATCCATCCGAATTTTGGTATCCATTAGTTGCCCAATTGCCCGAAGAAGATCGTGTCTGTCCACCGCCTAAAGATGTAAGACAGAAACTGTGAATACACTTAAAAAATCTTACGAATTATGGTCCAAAATTTATTTCAGAGAGTTTTTATTATAAACGATATGAAAAATCGTTTGGAACTAAAAAATGTCAATGTACATGGCGATCTGTCTGGGAAATATAAAGCCACGATTCATTTTACCATTGGAAATTATTCTTCTTGCCTGATGTCGGTCGTTAATGTCTGGATAATTTAGTAGTGATGCGAAGAAAATTGTATTTATTTAAAGTTTCTGGAATAAAGAATTTCTTGAATATAGCACAAAATAATTTGAATAAAGTTTTGAGGAGAATGGGACTCTGTCCATTTGACTACAGGCCTTTAAATAAGCTTACTTCCTAAATCTGGATATCGAGCATCCAGATTTACTGCCACAACAAACATCTTGATTGACCATTTGCAAATCTTTTGAAACCCCAAGAACTACCAACTCTGAATAAGCTTTATACTGGTGAGGGCGGAAATGGCGCCCAACATTGGAGCATTATGTCGGCGAAGAAAGTGCTATCGTTTTGTGGGATCTGACATGCTGCGTCCGTATGGCTAAATAGGGATCGCAGTTTACGCCGAATGTCACCGTCTGCAACTCAAAATCCTGAACAACAAACCGTAGAGTTTGTTGACGCGGCAACTACTGGCCTCATATGGTCCAAATCTGAATATTCATTGACCACTTGGTCGTAGACTGCCTTGATTTGTGGCTTTCGAAGAAGAGATGCCTCATTCCGAAGAAATTGTCGTAAACAATTATTTCGGGAAAATCCTAAGTCTGCCTGTCCAACTAAAGCTGGGAATACATAAAGCGCTTATTTGGCTGGCTTATATCATCGGCTGGCTTCTTCGGAAATGAACAAAGGAGCCTAGGGCCAAAATCGAACTAGGTCAACCTAAAACTTCTTTGTTCATTTACGAAGAAGCCAGCCGATGACTTAAGCCAGCCAAATATGCGCTTAATGTATCTCTAGCCTAACTCTGTCTTGAGGGGAAGGCTGACCACGTACGTACCCTCTGAATCCCGATGTGTGGTACGTTTATAATTTGCCTCACAAAACTGGTCGGAGGGCGACAAAATTGGACGTTTAGGAACTTCCTCCAGTTCCCAAATACGAAGAAGGACCTTCTTAAGGTTTTCTTCGTCAGATATACTGACTTTAACGGAAAAGACTGATAGATATTGAGGGGGAATAGAACCAGTAATGATCCAACCAAAGACCGTATTTTGTGCTATAAGGGAGCCTAATATATTAGTGTGAATTCCCTGTAACAGAATCTTCGGATAAAGATCTGCTCCCAGCAAAAGGTCAACAGGGCGACTGTTTAACAAATTTGGATCAGCCAAACGTAGATCTGGCAAACGAGAAACGAAGTCGCTATTGACAGAAAAGGAAGGCAGATTGCCAGAGATGGAAGGTAAAATCAGAGCAGTAGTTTCCATTGAAAGCGAAGCATCCAATGAAGAACTTATACAAATTGAACACAACTTGCGCGACGTAGTCGAAACTGCCTGATTAATACCAGATATTGTAGCAACAGTTGTAGTGGAGGCGATGCCTAGTATGTGCTGTAAGCGATCTGTAATAAAATAAGCTTAATGCTTTGGCAGGGTACGTGGTACCCTGGTGAACGATGTTCACCATTGCCGTGCCTAATAGAACATTTCGACTTTGAGCGGTATGAAATACCAGTCTATTAGCAGAGCTGAAGAAGAAGAAGAAGATACGTTCCTAACTTCAGAAGTTGCTGCAGTCGATGACGTGGAATTATCTCTATGTAATAGAGTGTGATGTCTTTTATTACATTTACTACAACAGCTGATGGTCGCTCTCCGTTCGTATTAATCGATCGAGATGATGTCGGAAACATTTTTGCTTTCATTCAACAAAATTAAAAAAAAAATTATATATAAAAATTATGGCGTTTGACTTTGTTTCAGTTTTTTTATCTCACCCTGTATTACAAGGCTATTATCTGCTAGCGATAAAATTCTATTTTTTAGATATACACAAATTATTAAAACCCCTCTTTTCGTTTTACAGTTGCACATCTTAAAATATCACGTTCTCGTTGAACAAACAGCTGATGGCACTGAAACACATACCTGTATCATTTGCCAAAAGAAATTCTTTTCCAAAGATGATTTTAAAATACACATGAAAATTCATACCGTAACGGAAACCGAAAATATGTATGAACGGATGATTGTGCAGCATGACGAGGAGTATATCAATGCCACGGTGACCGATACCTCAGCATCGTCGGCGTCTGAACCAGGAAAAGCGAAAAAGTTCCAGTGCCGTAGTTGTTTTAAATGTTTTGCTTTAAAGTGAGTACAAGCAAATGTGTTATTACGAAATATATATGTGTTAACATTTATTTATTTATTTTTTAGAAAAAGTCTATTGCGCCACATGACCATCCACAGTGAATTTGTTGATAATTTGGAAGTCTACAACGAAGAAGATTTATCATCTGACCACCATCAGTTTGCATGCTCTGCATGTCCTGATTTAATTTTTAAATCAATTGAAGATTTAAAAGTGCACATGCTTGAACATGATATAAAACAAGATTAAACATAGGAAAGCACTAAAAACTAAAAAATAAATGTTTATAAATGCTCTGTTCCAGGGTGTATCCTTATGCCACCAGTGTTTTATCTATACAAGGTTGGGCACGTTGGAATAAATAATATAAAGTTATAAAATTAGGAAAAATATTACTCGACATTGTCTAGAAGTCAAAAGAACGGGAAAATAGTAAAATATTCAAAATATATGGCAAAAAAGGGTGATTTTTTAACACGAAAAAGATATAAAATTCAGAAAAATACATGACATTTTTGTTTGATTTGATAGTACGGTCCATGGTATAATGAAGAAAAGGTAGGCTAACTTAAAAAAAAAAAATTGCAAGTATAAAGGATTACCTTTTTGGCTTGTAATGTCAGAATTACTATCAAAACAATTACAAAACCAAAACAACTTGTTTCCTTGATTTTGAATAAATAATTGATAAGCACGAAAACTGAATGAAAGGTTATTTCGCTACAAAAACTGTAGATGTTGTCGATGAATATATTGCAAAAACATTTTGATAACTACCGAATTTGAATATTTTCTGAACAATTGTTTATTATTGAAAAAGAATACACACACATAAACAAATAATGTTGACATATTAAGCCAAGAAAATAAAAAAAATAAATCATATGGTATGGTTGGGCTACCTTAATTTTATTGTACCATGGTACGGTCCACATATTTTAATGTGTGAATCGTGGTACAATAAGGAGGTAGAATAGCTTCGTAAAACTACAGAAATGCAGCCCTAAAGGTGGGAATACATAAAGCGCTTATCTGGCTGGCTTAAGTTATCGGCTGGCTCTTCGGATATGAACAAAGGAGCTTGGTTCCAAAATCGAACTAAGTCAACCTAAAACTCCTTTTTCATATACGAAGAAGCCAGCCGATGACTTAACCCAGCCAGATAAGCGCTTTATGTATTTCCAACCTAAGGCTATGCCCGCTTCCTGTCAGACTCATTCAAAATTGTATCCAACAAGTTTTTATTTATTTTTTCATATTTTCCTCATTTTTGCATTGAGTTGAATAGCCTGGATTTTTTCTCGAAAATATGATCCAAAGTGTTTAATCTTTCAATTTCATGGCTAAACTGGTTAGTAGCTTTAATGCGCGAGTCTTAATGTGCGTATCCTCCAATTATTGGCTTTGAAAATATTTTGTTTTAATTTTCAAAACAATAAATACATGCACAAAATTGACAGAAGTCGAGCACACTTAGAAAAAAATGTAATCAGCTGGTACCTCTACCTTACCTTTTTATTGTACCATGGTTTGAATATTATTTCATACACATGTACGCTTATTCAAATTTTGACATACTCTACGAATAAATGTTGTCTTCCAATGTAAGATATAATTCTTCACCCCATCCTGTATTCGTTGCACCACGATTGGTAACAGCAGTTTTTAGCAGTTGTCATGGTAGAAGAATACAGGTAGATGCATCAACGCTTGGGAACATTGATATGTCAAAAAAATTCAATTTTTTTAAATAAATAGATTTTTATAAGTCTTCTTATACGACGTCAATCGGAGGTTGTTATGATATGCATTTTTCAAAATTTGTACAAATTTAAATAATTTTTCATTCGACATTTTCACTTACAAAATTGGTTTGACAGTTCATTGTCCCAGCAGCTGTGTCGACGCGTCTACCTATATTCTTCTACCATGGCAGTTGACCAGTATCACTTTTTTTGCATAAATCAAATTCTTAAACCCTTGGAGGAGGTTTCGATCTACGGATCCCTGTATGCAATCGTTGTTTTTGTTTTGATTTTTACATTTATCCCGCATTGACGCCTTGGTCTTCATTTCATATCTCAACGGCGGCGGCATTCCTTAGAAGCTTTGTAATTTGGTTGAAACTCCCATTCATTCTCATTTGTTTATATTTTTAAATTTTGTAAATTATTTCGTCTTTTAATCTTTAAAATAAACAATAAGCGCAAAAAATGGCATTGGAATTGTGTCGTTTGTGTGGAAATAATCAGAATCTCATAAGGATCTTGGATAGGGGACCCGAAATGTTGGAAAAACTAAAGAAGTGTGCTAACATTGAAGTAAGTACTGAAAGTTATTAAAAGTGTAGATATTTTCAATATTCCCAATTGTATTAGATTAAATCTGATGATATTCTGCCAAAGTTGATATGCCTGCAATGTGATAACACTTTGGAAATGTCCATGCTGTTGAGGAAACAAAGCGAAGAAATGCAAGAGCGTCTGAAGGGCGAACTACAAAAGACACAGTCAGTGGCGTTGAGCAGAAAAATTGTGGACAAACATCAGAACGAAGATGTGCAATATATTTCCGATGATGAACCCACGCTGGATATAAAAGTGAAGGTATCCGATGAAAGTGAGGCAATTCTGCCCATAGAGGTTGATGTTGAGGTCTTGGATACACGCAGCGAATCAACAATTGTGGCTTCAGAAACTGAAGATGCAGTTGATTATGACTTTCATATACCCTCCATTACAATAGGCGACAGGCTACATGCTGGAAAACAAATTTTGCCTCCACCACCCCATCTGCGATCCAAAAGTGTGTCAGTAGATGATATTGAATCCAGCGAAAGCTATAATTCATTAAACAGAAAAGTCAGCATACAAAGCTATGAGGATGACGATAATGATGAAGATAATCATAAACCCGAGTATGATATAATCGAAGTTACCAAAAATGAGTTCCATAACTCTGATTCCTGTTCAAGTCTTTTGCAACCCCAAGAATCGTTCAGTATAGATGCGATGTCGATTAATTCGAACAATGAACCCTTACAGACATCTGATGGTGATTATGTACCACCGTCACGCGGTTCGACAGTCTACACCTGTGTTACCTGCAATGAAGTGTTCACACGCAAAAAAGCCTATGCAGAACATATTCTACAGCATGGAACCAATCGTTATCAGTGTATACAATGTTTGGCAGAGTTCCCAACACGTTATCGTTTGATACGACACGAAACCACTCACACCGAAGGTCAAACGTATAAATGTCTTCTCTGTAGTCGCGAGTATCGTGCTGGTTATAATCTCCAGAGGCATATCGTGGCATGTCACTCGGAAAAGAATCAATTTGAGTGTAATATCTGCCACTTGAGTTTTGCTCGTCAGGATGTTTTAAAGCGTCACCGAGATCAAATTCATTTGAACATCAACAAGAAATGGCACTGTAAAAAGTGCGGTAAAAGGTAAATATATTTGAGCAGTATATGAGTCTGGAATTTGTTTCAATAGGTCTGTATTGTTAGGTTTTTGCAGGTTCACCTGGTTTACAAGTGTTGATTAATTTGATATTAAACAATGAGAATATTTTTAGGTCAAGTTTAGAACGATACGTTTGGATTTTCAGAGGTTTCAAAGAAAATTTTTGGAGAAATCTTTGCAAGGACCTTTTAAGCTAAACTCGTAAATATTTGTCGACAGAATTTTGGTAATACTTTCGATACTTTTCGAGTTTTTATTCGTATTTTTTTGAAAAGTCTTTAACAGCTCTGAACGGTCAATTAAAAATATCTTTAAAAAGACTTTCTGTGGTTTTTAAAAATAAAATTTGGGTTGATTTCAGAGTCGCAATCGTGGATTATTTACGATCCATTTTCGAGAAACTTTCAGGCCTTTAATTAGATTACCTCAGAATATTTTGGAACAGACTTTTAGGGCAATCATCTTGGATCCTTTTAAGAATGTTTTTAGATAACAATTTTTAAAGATAATTTGTGGAGAGAATTATTTATAAGTAGTTTTAATCGGCAATAATCGTGGATCTTTTTAACAAAAAAAAAAAAAAAAAAAAAAAAAAAAAAAACTGCAACGACGTCAAACGCCATTATTTTTACATTTTTTTTTTAAATTTTATTGGTTGCATGGTTGGAATGTCCAAGGTCTGCGGCCAAAATGTTTGCGTGCCCAGGGAATTAATACATCCTCTAGAATATTTTCGCGATAATATTCTGTATTTATTCTGCTGTTATGGCGGCCCACACCATCACCATGACTGGCGCTTGAGTTCTGGGGGTCAACCGAAGGTGCACATTTTCAGCTGACCTCTTTGGCAAGTAATCACAATCATTTTGTTTGTTTACAAACTGAACCGTCACTGAAATAATTTTAACAGCTGTCGAGCTGCCGACGAGTGGCTTAGAAATGTCAGCAGTCTGCAGTTGGTTGCAGTTTCTTCATCTCACCCTGTATTTTTATATAACAATTTTTGAAAGTAATTTGTGGAGAGAATTATTTCTAAAGTGTTTTGAGTTTTGGAGCTATTATCGCGTTTTTTGTTTTTTTTTTTTTTTTTTTAATATTTTTGGAGAAATCACAGCCACATTCGTGGGCAATTGAAGGATTTTTTAAAGAGATTTCCAGAGCTTAAATCTAGTACTTTTTACGAATGTTTGTGTCATGAAGTTTAGGGTTATAATCGGGTAGTATTTTAAAATTTACAGCAAAATTATGATGGCGGATTTTTTAAGAGCTTTTCTGGGTAGATTTTTTGCGATATGGCCATTGATGTTTAGCTATATTTTTGCATAAATTTTCAAAGATATAGACATAGAATTTTCATATTTCTGTCCATCCTAAATGCCTGTTTTGCCCCTTTTTAATCACCTATGCACTTTATTTACTTCCCCAGCTTTCGTGCCCAATATCTGTTCAACTCTCACAAAAATCAAAATACCTGCTCACCCGAGCCCTTACCGAAGAAAAAAATTGCTAAAGGCAAAAAACATTCTCGTTCGGGTAAAGCCGAAGACGAATACATTGAACAGTGTCCGGATGACAAATATAAATGCATAATATGTAATATGAAATTTAAATGTATATGGAATTGTAGAAACCACATCCAGACACACAGCGATACCAAACCATATCCCTGTAGTACATGTCCGAAACATTTTCGTACCCGATACGCTCTCATCAACCATGAACGTATTCATAGTAATGAAAAACCATTCGTTTGTGATATCTGCATGAAACCTTTTCGCCAAGTAACACATATGCGACATCATCGTATGCTTCATACGCGTGATAATCTGCCGGTCAAGTGTAAAGAGTGTCATCAAGGATTTGTGACAAAATGGAAGTTGAGGGAACATTTGCGTCGGGAACATTGTACGGTCAAGGCATTTAAATGTGCCGAATGTCCGGAGGAGTTCTATTTGAAATATGATTTAAAACGACATGCTCGTTTGGTGCATTTGAGATCGGTGGAAATCGCCGAATCGGATAATGAGGGTGTAAAGAATGATACCTACGTACCGGATGGGACTTCTGATTCTGAAATATATCAATATATTCAAACTGAAGAGGATAATGATGATCATTATGCGGATATTGACACGTTATTTAATGCAACGGATAGTAATGTCACAAATGTCGATACAAATCAGCGGAATCATACTGCGAATGTGGTGGGTGAAGGAGCACCCTATAATCCTATCAATTTTATAAATGACAACGAAGTCGCTGATGTTGTTGAAAATACAGTTTTAATTGTCCCAGAGGCAAACTCGAATCCGGAACAAGATACAACAACAAATTTATATGCCCCAGAAATAGAGCATCATACAACTATCAATTTCATAAATGATCATGATATTATTGATATAGATGAGGTTCAAGAGAACAATGTTCACGATGTTGATGACGATGTACAAATAATTGAAGATTCCATAACACAGACGTCTCAAAATCCCCCACATCTGGATGGGGAAATAAATGCACCCGATTCTCCTTTATTTATATTGAATGATCTAGAATCGCCACCACCCTCACCACAAACATCAAACCAAACACTGCAACAAGAAAGCGAAAATCAGGTGATAAATAATGTGTCGTATATGGATTGCATACAATTGGATTCATCGAATTCTTGTAAATCGCCACCGGACGAAATTGTGGACAACGATTTCATTGAGGAGGAAATTCATATAACCGAAGAAACATACACCACAAGTACAAGATATTTCAATAGCAACGATGTTGTACAGCAGCAGTCATAAGCAAAGGTAGTTTTACAAGTTTATTCTTTAAAACTTTTTGTTGAATATTTCTGTTGGTATTTTAGAAGACATTTGCTTTGTTATTCTACCCATTTCTAGCCATAATAAGAACTTCAATTTATTCATTCCCATTATACCTAAAACCCTAGATTTTAGTCATGACCTTTTCAGTCCATCCCTTTGGATATTATATATTTAAGCGTAGACTAAGTTTAGTTATAGATCTTAGTTTTAGATAGAAATTAAAAAAATGACTTTTTTAGAATAAGGCTTTCTCTATTTAAAATACAGTTTCTATACAATTTATACAGCATAAAATACAATTCTTCTTATTTTCAAAAACATGAAATCCGACCATTTTAAAAAGGTGGTGATATAATTTTTTTCTTTGCTATGAATTAATAATTTAGCCCCTAAATCCAGATACGACTCAGACATCTGATAAGAAAATATAAACGCAATGAAAGAGGGTTAAGTGCTGCTTCTCCAGTTATAGAACCATCTTTCCATGGAATTTATCCCTTTTTGGTTGCCGCAATTCGTCGTCGTCATAAGTACAAATGGTTCTGTTACTTTCAGCAGCAATAATAGTACCATTCGTGGCAAAGGTATAAGCAAGGAACCTCATTTTGTAACAATTCTTGGGTGGTGCGTGCTGAATGCGATGGTGCTGAGTCCTGTTGGAATGTCCAAGGTATGCGGCAAAAATGTTTGGGTGCCCAAGGCTTTAATACCCCCTCCAGAATATTTTCGCGATAATATTCGGCATTTATTCTGATGCCACGGTCGATTAATACGAGCGGAGAGCGACCATCGGCTGTTATGGCGACCCACACCATCACCATGGCCGGCGCTTAAGTTCTGGTGGCCAACGTAAGTTCCATATTTTCAGCTGACCTCTTTGGCAAGTAAACAAGATCGTTTTGTTTTTTTACAAATTGCTGGACAACGAATGTTTTCTCATTTCATCATCACCACTTTTAGCCAAGCAAAGCAACTCTTTAGCTCTTTTAGGTCCGTTTTCTTTCTGTTGCGGTGTAAGTTCTTGAACTTTCTGGAATTTCAATGGCTTCACCCCCAGCTCATTTTTCAATATTTGCTGAATGGAATGTTGCGATATGTTCAGTTCACGAGTCATTTTTCGACCACTGCGATGCGGGTTTCGATCAAGTCAATTATTTACTTTTCGAACCATTTGTCCTGATGTTGCTGTTTTCTTCCGTCCACTTCCTTGACGCCGGGCTACTCTACCAGTATCACGGTGACGAGCGATGGTAGGAGACACAAAAGATTTATTCACACTTAAATGCTGGAGTGCTCTAACGATAGCCACTTGTGGTTTTCCAGCCAAATATAAAGAAATCACGTTTGAACTCCATCACGAATAACTTTTTTCTGGAAAATTCTCACCAAAATGCTTTAGTACGCTTGTAAACAATATAATAAGCTGTCATTGGAATAATTTTAACAGCTGCCGGATGAGTGGCTTAGAAATGACAGCATTCTGAAGCTGGTTGCAGTTTTTTAAGTCGATTTACCGATATCCGTCTGTCTATTTGTTGTAATCACGCTATCTTCCGAACGAGTTGAGATAGAAGAATGAGTTTTTGTACACGTGTGTATTTTGCCAGTAGGCAGGTCCACGTCTGTGTATAGCCCTCATACAACGGTACCTCCCTTTATTCGGTATTTTGATGATATTAGCGACGTTATTCACAGGATTGTTTTAAAATTCGTATTTGAAGTTCATAATGGATGCTTTAACATAAGACAATGCTGGTCCACGTCTTCGTATAACCCACATATAACGGTTCTTCCCATTTTCGGTATTTTGATGATATTAGGGACATTATTCACCGCATTTGTTAAAAATTTCGTATTTGGAATTCGTACTACAGCCTGGTCTATACTGGACCACGTTTTTGTTTAGCCCGCATATAACGGTTTTCATTTGAGCCCTATTTTTTCTACAGTTTTTTTGTTGAAATTTTTCAAGTTTCTTCAAAATGGTGAAGACTTTTAAAAGTTCCTTTCGATGAACTTAGCTACTTTTTTATTTGTTCTTATTATGACTCGCTTGAGGATTAAAATGTTGGATATGGGGGCGAACTTTCCATCCTTGCACCCTTTCCACCCCTTCCAGTCATATTTTATAATCTACTGAGTTTTTCCCGTACTTTATAAAAATCTAGTACAAAGTTATACCAATCTAGTTAGTAGTAACAGTCTCTTATTATATGTCTATATTTATGCATTTATGTATTTAAATAACCCCTCTCTGCTCTTGCAGTTCAAAGTAAATATGAAATCACATAATATTTATTTACTTTCACACAAAAAATTATGTACATAAAAACCCATATATATATTTTTCATGTACCTATTTTCGAATCTATTTTTAGGTTTTCAATAAACATAAATAAAGTGAAATAAAAATAAATTTAAAGTACACTACAAACACCACCACTAATGGGACATTACAAGACAATCATTTCAATGTTTGGTTTTTTCTCCCTCGCTGGAGTATCAATGAAGTTGGCACCACAAACACGTCAACGTCATGTGGGAGAAATACTCACTCATTTTGGCGCCAAAACAAAAAAGTAAAATGACATAAAAAGAAAAAAATAAACACAGCAGAGAAGAGCGCAAGAAAACTGTTTCCGGCGCATGCCCTCTCACAAATCCTTTAAGAGTAAACAGCAAATACAACAACATTGAGAAAATGCCGCCAAAATATTGGCTAAAACAGCTGTTGCGGTAAGTTTGTTTTGGGTACAATTTTGCATTATTTGGGGAAATTTGTTCTAATATGGTTCTCTTAAACGGGGGGAGGGGTGGAGTAGTTATTGGGGATATTTTTTGTTTGTTTTGTGGTGGTGGTATGTTTTGCCTGGTTGTTGTTTCTTCTATCACAAAAGGTGCGTGCATTTTGCATTTGGCGCTTAGTATGAAACGAAAATTCGTGCACAACGGATGATGTTCGGTTTGTTTTGGTTTAATTTCGGTTCGGTTTTTGTTGTAACAGCAGCTATATTTAAAACAAAATCGCCACTTCGAAAAATGCGTTGAAATTTACAAATAAATTAAAATGAAAAATTCTCAATTATCTTAAATGCTCGGAATCGGAAATTAATGTTGAAATGAAATTAAAATAGTATTTGAAAAAATCATTTCGTTTGTTTTTTCTTAAAAATAAATTTTGAAAAAAAAATATTAAATTTCGAGAATAATAATAAGTGAAAATTTAAAAATTCAAAAGTTCACAGAGAAATAAAATAAAATCAAAGAAAAAAATAATAATTGCAGTGCAAAATAAATGATATAGTAAAAATAATTACCTGGAATTATTCGTAACTGATTACCAGAAAAAAAGAAAATGTAATTAAGTCTAAATCACTATTTAATACCACCACTAAATTACATTGATTACATATTTCTTGCGGGCAGGGAAAATTTACTACATTTAAAATTTAATCAAGAACCTTATTGCCGACTTGGAACAACTGTTGTCCATTATTGTTTGATATATTTAAATATTTATACAGTTGAAGCCAATATTTTTCTGGCTTCAAAGAAATTTTCGTTTTAATTCACACACGCACACTTCGTTACAAGAAATATTGAAAAGGAAAGTTCCAATAAACTTTTGTTCGCCACAGTGTGTAAAATTGGAATTTTTACACAATAAAAAGGATTTTCGTTAACATTTGGAAACAAATTAACATGTGTTAAGTAATCCATTAATAAGAAGCAAGGAAAAGATAATGGCGGGTAGAGTCGACATGGAATCATATGCCCAAAAAAATTGACAATCCTAGAAAAAATGTTACTTTATTAAACCGAGCAGTTGCAATGTAAACCATATAAAATATTGAAAATTTTTGTTTTGGAAACCCTTAGAATACCTTTTAAAAGTCCACTGCCGTAACTAACGTTGAAAAATATTGTGACATAAATTAAAAATGGTTGTTTTGAAAATTTTTAAAAGCACGAATATTTTTACCCAAAAAGAGCCATGGAAACAATTCATAAAAAATAAATAATAATTTTTAATTTTTTTTTAAATTTTATTGAATGAAAGCAAACAAGTAAAAAAGCAGCTAAGTTAGACCGGGCCTCCACCATTTGGAATGAACTTGAAAATTTTCACAAAGAAAAATTCCGAAAACTACCTCTTAAATGAAAGCCGTTATATGGGGACTATACAAAGACGTGGACCTGCTTACGAAATTGTTTGTCATATGCTATAGTACCCATCACGAGCTTCAAATACGAAATTTGAATCATTTTCAGTGAATAATGTCGTTAAAATCATTAAAATATCGAATATCGGGAGGTACCGTTATATGAGGAGTATACGAAGACGTGGACCTGTATAGGAAATTTTTTTCACATGGGTTGTAATACCCATTAAGATCTTCAATTCGAAATTTAAAACGATTCCGGTAAATAATGTTGCTGAAATAGTCAACATACCAACTATCGGGAGGTGCCCTTATATGGGAGCTATACAAAGACGTGAACCTGCATACAAAATTTTTTGTAGTACCCGTTGTGAAATTGAAATACGAAATTTGAAATAATTCCGGTAAATAATGTCGCTAATATCATGAAAATACCGAATATCGGGAGGTACCGTTATATGGGGTCTATACGAAAACGTGGACCGATATGATCCATTTACGAGGACCTAAAAATATCGGAAATAGCATCAGATTTTAGAATAAGTTTAGATTTGTTCGTATTGTTTATCTTTGGCACGAATTATGGCCTTCAAAAGGCCAATGGAGCCGTCACACGCTGCCCGAATGTTGCCCTGCGGTATTTTGGCAAATTCACGGCTAAGCGATTGCTTGAGGTGATCGACATTTTGGTATTTTTTAGTGCCAACCTTGCTTTCCAAAATACTCCAGATACAATTCGGAGATTTTGTTGGCCATTGTGCGCTGGAAATGAAGCGAGGAACCTCATTTTTAACCGTTCTTCCAGTTGGAATCTTTAAGGTCTGCGGTCAAAATGTTTGCGTACCCAAGGCTTTAACACACCCTCCACAATATTTTCGCGATAATATTCGGAATTTATTCTGATGCCACGGTCGATTAATATGAGCTGGGAGTGACCATCGGCTATTATGGCGGCTCACACCATCACCACGGCCGGCGCTTGAGTTCTGATGGCCAACCGAAGGTGCACGTTTTCAGCTGACCTCTTTGACAAGTAAACACGATTATTTTGTTTTTTTACAAACTGCTGAACAATGAATGTTTTCTTGTCGGAGAAAACCAAATTCGGCAGTTCACCATTTTCGGCCAAGCGAAGAAACTCTATAGCTCTTCTTTCTGTTGCGGTGTAAGTTTTTGCACTCATTTTTCAATATTTGTCGAATGGAATATTGCAATATGTTCAGCTCACGAGCCATTTTTCGGGCACTGCGAGGCTGATTTTCGAACCATTTCTGCATGACGTTGGGCTACGCTACCAGTATCACGGTAACGAGCGATGGTACGAGACACAAAAGATTTATTCACATTGAGATTTTACCTCGACCTCGAGATTTATTTCAAACAGTAGGATCTAACATGGTATAAACAATATAAAGTATGACAGGGAAATTCCAACAACAAGATTATTGTATTGTAAAGCGGACACTTTTGCATCAAACCTTAAACATAGTATGTGTGTGGGTATGTGTTGTTGAAAATAATAAAAAAAATATTTAAAAATTCAATAAAAATAAAAATTCTTATTCACATTTTGGAGGAACAATTTTTTCGATTTCTGAAATGAAGCAAAATCCTAATTACATCCATAACTCAATTTTGTGAAATTCCAAATCATTTTGAACGACTTCTTCATGATTTTATAAAATTTTGCTTAATTATAAAATAGAAAAGCCAAACAAGTTTACAAAAAACAAGTTAAAAGCAGTTGAATACCCTCCACCATTTGGAACGAATTTGGAAAATTTCAAAAAATAAAATCCTTAAAAAATTCTGTTAAAATTTTAAAAATACCGAATATAGCCGTTATATTGGGGTCTATTCGACGTGGACCCACATAAGCACTGTTTGTCATAAGCCATTACCATATTCAAATTTGAAACTTGAAATAAACGGCAGCTAAAATCATCAAAATATTGTATATAGGGAGGTACCGTTATATTGGAGTTGTGCGAAGACCTTTGACCAACGAAGACCTGTCACAGGCTATAGCACCCATTACGAAAGTCAAATACGACATCTCAAACAATTTCGGTGTGTATTCTACCTAAACTCGTCAAAATACCGAATATAGGGAGGTACTGATATATGGGACCTATACGAAGACCTGACCTGCATAGACAATTTTTTGTCACAGACTGTAGTTCCCATTACGAACTATAAATACGTAATTTGAAACTACTACGGTGTATAATAACGCTAAAATCATCAAAATACCGAATATTGGGAGGTACCGCAATATGGGGGCTGTACGAAGAAGTGGATCTGCACAGACAATTTTCTGTCTTAGGCTGTAGTATCCATTACGAATTTCAAATACCAATTTTGAAATAATTCCGATGAATAATGTCGCTAAAATCATCAAAACACCGAATATCGGGAGGTACCGTTATATGGGGGCTATACGAAGACGTGGACCTGCACAGACAATTTTCTGTCTTAGGCTGTACAGGGTTGTCCATATTCGACGGACCCATCTGGCAACGCCATAACTTTTGACAGAGATGTCACATCGCTTAATGACATACCGCGTTTGAAGCGTCAGTCCAAGCAGATTTTTACCATGAACCAATACACGTCACGCGAGCGCTCTGATATAGTTGAAATTTACATTCAACAGAAGAAGTCAATTGTGAAAAAAATGTGAGAAGTGCGCCTTCTAAGAACACCATTAAGCGTTTATACGAAAAATTTTCGACTGGTAAGGCTTTTTCTAATCCGACGAGGCCATATAAAATTCGACCAAGGCGATCGGCCGAGAATATCGCTGCCGTACGAGCCAGTGTTGAGAGGTCCCCAAGAACATCCCAAAAACGCCGTTCTCAGCAGTTGGGCATGGCTCGGTCCACTTTACAATGGATTATTCGCATTGATTTGCATTTGAAATTTGAAACAATTCCGGAGAATAATGTCGCTAAAATCATCAAAATACCGAATATCGGGAGGTACCGTTATATGGGCGTTATACGAAGACGTGGACCTACATGGAAAAATAAAGAAGTGTGTAAAATTTTAGCCTTCTATCGTTCGAAAGATAGCGTGATTACAACAGACAGACGGACATGGCTAAATCGACTTAGAATTTTACGCTGATCAAGAATTTTTATGCTTTGTTGGGTCTGACATGAGCATTTCAGGAGTTACAAACGGAATGACAAAATTAATATACCCTCCATAGTATGGTGGAGGGTATAAAAATGTGGAAAATATGTCGATTTTACAAAATGGACAACATTTAAAGCAGTAAGATGGCACCAAATGCTGAAGAGGGTTTCTCAATTTTCATCGATCTGACCTACATCATATTTGTTTTTACATTGAATCTATCATGTTAATTTGGCCTAAACACTTATGTTTTTATTTTTCTCATATTGTCGTATTGAAAATTCATATATTTTGTTGGTTTGACATAATTTAATCATTTAAATGGGGTCAAAAACTATAAAAAGTTTATGTTATTTTCTGACACACTGTTGTTGCAGCACAACTTATCAACATTTGTTGACCTTTCAAAGGTAACCCATAAAATTCACCTTTCTATGTTTAACAAAAGACCCTTTAGATAATAAATCAAACTATTTAAACTTCCTCTAACTTTGTGGTGGTATATCCCAGGAGAAAAATATTAAAAAACATATTCACATGCAAACAAACATATATATCTACACTTTTATCAATACAACAAAAAATTCAAGTTTTCTTTGGAAAATTTATATAGTTAATTTTATTTCCACTTTTTCTTCTTTTTTTTTTTGCAGTTACACGACCACAATTTCAATTTCTCTCCCATTCATCATCCATATTGGCTCGAAATTTTGTGTTTTTTTCGGTTTTCGCAAAACATCAATTCTTATTCTTCTTCTTCTCAAATCCATTTATATCTTAAAAATTTCACATCAATCACAAACAGCCGTACGGAATATAACCTAACAATTTTTAAATTTATTATTGCGGTTGCGAGAAGAATCATTTCACTGCTGCTAACCAATATCTCTCGAAAAAGGTGAAACAACTTTTGTTGTTGTTGTTCGTGTTGCTGTTGGTGGCCTTGCTGTCTGGAGTGGATATAAAATCGACATTCAACATTTGGTTCCTGCAACATTTCTCTTTTCGCTTCATTTTATTTATAAAGGTAAGTTTGTGCGTTTTAAATGTTTTATTAGTAGCTACACACACATGTACATTTTTATATATACGTATGTATACATATATATAGGCATGTTACTTTTAAGAATAGAATTAAGTTGGATTTAGGTGTATATTTTTAATTTCGTTGTCTGACACAATGTAAAAGATTAACTGATCTCAACTTATTCGAGTGGTAGGATCTGTTTTTGTTCTTAGAAAGAATATTGTTGCGGGAATTAAATGATTTGACATCCAATTACAAAATGTTTGCACCCGTGATGTAGGCATGTCCCCGAACATGATGAAAATAGCATTTGCTCTAAAGGGTGATTTTTTAAGATCTATAGAAAATTTTTCAAAAAAAAAAAAAAAAACACAGTAAAGAAAGTCCTAAACTCGGGCGGGGCCGACTTTATGATACCCTACACCACTTTGCTAATTTTCCACATAACAATTAAAAGATTTTATGGGAGAATTTAATCCTACACGCTATGATTATAATTGTAATTTAAAGTTCAAAGGACTAAATTGCCGAAGCATTTGTATCTTTTAAATTCGGACTTGTATTGCCCATTTGGTGCACAATTAATTTGAAAACAGATAAAGATATATATGGAAGCTATATCCAAATCTGAACCGATCTCGATAAAATTTGGCAAAGATATTTCTGAGCTGTATTTGATATATTTCCCTGAATATCGTTGTTACGGGGTGCATATTACGGTTGTGAGTAACAAATATGACAAATCGGATGAAAAGTATATATGGGAGCTATAGCTATTTCTGAACCGATCTTCACTAAATTTGGCATACCTCCTTCTAGACTCAATTCGGTCGTTTGTGACAAATTCCATTCCATTTTGGGGAAATGTTAGACGTTTGCTGCACAATAAAAGGTAATTCGGACGAAGTTATATATGGGAGCTATATCCAAATCTGAACCGTTCTCGATAAAATTTAGCAAAGGTATTTCTGAGCTGCATTTGATATATTTCCCCAAATATTGTTGTTACAGAGTGCATATTACGGCTGCGGAGGACAAAAATAACAAATCGGTTGAACAATATATATGGGAGCTATAGCTATATCTGAACCGATTTCGATCAAATTTGGCATACCTCTTTTCATGCCTAATTTGGTTGGATGTGTAAAATTTCATACTATTCGGGCTGATATTACACGTTTGGTGCACAATAAAAGGCAAATCGGACGAAGATATATATGGGAGCTGTATCTTAATTTTTACCGATTATCTCCAATTTCAATAGGGTTCGTCCTTGGGCTAAACAAATGACTTGTGCATAAATTTCATCTCAATCGGATAATAAATGCGACCTGCATTTTGTTCACAAGAATACATGGACAGACGGACGGACGGATAGACTGACATGCATAAATGAACTCAGAAAGTGATTCTATGGAGATCCTCAAAAGTAACTTTGGGTCTATCTCGCTTCCTTCTCCATGTTACAAACAAATGCACAAAGACATAATACCCTTACCACTATGTGGTGTAGGGTATAAAAAAAAGGTGAAATAGTATCAGTCAGTTTTACCGACAAATGTATACTCCCACCCTCGAGTTATGATTATTCAAACTGTTGACCCTTTATGGTTGAGGTTCCGAAGCAGTTGGTCAATATTGACAAATTCATTTCTGACCTAAGACTGATATAGATATTACAACGTGCCACATTTCGACTATATCGACTACTTCCTATAAGAGCGCTTTGTTTTTCAAAATCCTCAACCCAATGTGGGGGAGGTGCCAGAAAAAATGCTCAAATCTCTATCATATTTACAACAGATTGAGATATGCATGAAGTCTGGAATGGAATCGGATTTTAATTTCCCGTTTTATGAGCTTAATGGTACTTGATGGAGTAGACGGATATTGTCCATTTGCGCATCTGACGTAGCACTGATGCAAATATTAGGATTTGAAAGTTGGAGCAAAATATATATATATCTTCTCTTTCTGTGCATTAAAATATTGTTTTTTTTTGAAATGTTGACCATTTGTGTGGGAGGTACCAGAAGGAGTGGACCGATATTACACATTTCCGAACTCGATCTAGGTTTGATATTACAGACAGTCAGATGGACGGACGGATATCGCTAGATCGACTTCAATTATCCTGAATCGGATTTGGTCCAAAGAGACATAGGGTCTAAAATCGCTATTTCGATGAGGCACGTTTTGGCCGTATCAAATGATATATACCCTCATATGACTGAGGGTATAAACATCGGACCAATCCTTCTTGTGCCTTCAACAAAACGGGTCGCAATATTAAATAATCATTATGAAATGCGAAAAAAAACCGGATTCTCTTCAAAATTTACAAAGCTCAATATTTCTACTAACACAAGATCTGGTGGAAAGATGGTAGATATTGATCCACTCCTTCTGGTAACTCCACTACAACATTTTGAATAACCATTAAGCTCATACACCGCGAAATGATAGGTTATAGTACCGATTCCGAACGTCAAATACGAACTTTGAAACAATTCCGGGAGTGATGTCGCTAATATCATCAAAATACCGAATAAAGTGAGGTACCGTTAGACAATTTTTTGTAGTTAAATAAATTATATGATCTCTTTTGGGGATTTTCAGACAATTTCATTTAACAATTTGGCTACAATAATCAAAATACCGAATCAGGGGGTACCGTTTTATGGGGGCTTTGCAATATTGTGGATCGATATAGCCCATTATCTTATCTGTGCAACATTTTCGCTTCCTATTTTTATTCGCCTTGACTCTTAGCGGGATTATAACAGACGGACAGGCGGACGGAGAGACAGGGATAAATCGTCTTAGAATTTTACGCTGATAAAAAATATATACACTATGTACGGTCTAAAATGATTATTTCGACGAGTTACAAACGGAATGACTAACTTAATATACTATGACTAACTCCATACTATGTATGATGGATGGTAAAAAAATTCGAATTCGTTATTTTTACTAAACTGTATGTAGAGTGCGTATACGTGATATTATGATTTCATGACGTATACGCCATATTAGCTAAGCATCTAGGGCATTGCATTTATATATGGTTTTTTCATTCCGCTTATAAATTTTATTAAATGAAAGCAAAAAATGTCGGAAATAACTTCAACATTTAAGAATAACTTTAGATTTGTTCGAATTGGTCACCTTTGGTACGAATTATGGCTTTCAAATGGCCAATGAAACCGCTGCCCGAATGTTGCCCTGCGGTATTTTGGTCCATTCGAAGGCGAAGCGCTTGCTTGAGGTGATCGATACTTTGGTATTTTATAGTGCCAACCTCGCTTTCTAAAATACTCCGGACACAATAGTCAAACGGATTGGTATCCAGAGGAATTAGTGGCCATTGTGTGTTGGAAATGAAGCGAGGAACCTCATTTTGTAACCATTCTTGGATGGCGCCTGATGAGTGCGATGGTGTTGAGTCCTGTTGGAATGTCCAAGGTCTGCGTCCAAAATGTTTGCGTGCCCAAGGACTTAATATACCCTGCAGAATATTCGGCATTATTTCTGATGCCACGGTCGATTAATACGAGCGGAGAGCGACCATTGGCTGTTATGGCGGCCCACACCATCACCATGGACGGCGCTTTGTCCACATTTTTAGCTTACCCTTTTTGGCAAGTAAACACAATCATTTTGTTTGTTAACAAACTGCTGGACAACGAATGTTTTCTCATCGCAGAAAACCGAATTTCACCACTTTCGGCCAAGCGAAGCCACTCTTTAGCTATTTTGAGTCTATTTTCTTTCTGTTGCGGTGTAAGTTCTTGCACTTTTTGGAATTTCAATGTCGAATGGAATAGTGCGATATGTTCAAATCACGAGCCATTTTTCTGTCACTGCGACACGGGTTTCGATCAAGCCGCTTCTTTACTTTTCGAACCATTTCTGCTGATGTTGCTGTTTTCTTCCGTCCACTTCCTTGACGTCGGACTACGCAACCAGTATCACGGTAACCAGCGATGGTACGAGACACAAAAGATTTATTCACATTTAAATGCTGGAGTGCTCTAACGATAGCCACTTGTGGTTTTCCAGCCAAATATAAAGAAATCATGATAGTGTCTATCTGGCTTTCCTTTTCACTGCAAATTCCTGATCATTAAGCTCGTCTCGAAAGAGAAAACAAACACATAAAAAGAAATCACACTATCACGAATAACTTTTTTCTAGAAAATTCTCATAAAAATGTTTTTGTACGCTTGTAAACAATATAATGAACTATCACTGGAATAATTTTAACAGCTGTCGGAAGAGTGGCTTAGAAATGACAGCGGTCAGTTTGGGCATATTTTGTGCCCGAATTTGCGGTTGGTATCCCAGTGGACATTTTTTATACCCTCAGCCATATGGCTACAGAGGGTATATATCATTTGATACGGTCAAAACGTGCCTAGTCAGAACATTTGGAGTCGATCTAGCGATGTCCGTCCGTCTGTCTGTCTGTCTGGCTGGTGCGCACGATAACTCTCGAAGGGAGTATCCGATTTGCTCCAAACTCGGTACATCGTAATATTTTTGTCAAACTTAGATCGAGTTCGGAGATGGGCAATATCGGTCCACTCCTTCTGGTACCTCCCCGACAAAAGGTCGAAATTTTCAAAAAAAAAAATAATTTTTTGCACAAAAAGTGATAGGATAATCCGATTTTGCTCCAACTTTGCACATCCTAATATTTGCGTCAGTGCTAGGTCAGATATGAAAATGGACAATATCGGTCCACTCCCTCTGGACCACAAATGGTCAAAATTTTGAATAATTACAACTCTCATAAAATGTGATGTAGCATTCCGATTGTCGTCAAATCCAAAAATGATGAAAAACAAAACGCTCAAAGAAGTCGAAATAAGAATCCGACTCTCTTCAAATTTCACACATACACAAGATCACTTGTGAAGATGTTATATATCTGCGAAAACCTTCTGGTACCTCACCCACAAAGAGATACAATTTTCAAAACTTTTATCTGTCAT